TGATGTCTGCAGCCTTGCTAATGCTTTGTCCGTTGGTTCGTAGGCAGGGCGTGGCAACGGCATTCCGACCTTGACGCTTCCATGCGCCCGAGGAGCCAACCGCTGAAGGGCAGATACCCTGCGAGGGTTGCGTGCCCTAGTATCGTCCTTCCATCATGCCTTTTCTTCCAACATGTTCCGCAAATCGAATGATCTTGGTAACTCTGTTTGCCTGGATGATGTCTGGTGCGAGCGCGAGGGTCGATAGGTACTTCCCTCCATGTAAGACCTCAATGATCTCGTTCTCTCAGACCTGGAGAAACGAGTTCTTGAGGTTCTAGATTGAGTATCGCCTGTCCTGAGGCTTCTACTCTCTACTTGTGATGGTGTGGAATACCTTCCACGGTCTTCTGAACGGTGATGGGGCGTCTTACTTTTGCGCCCCTCTCCTGTCGCCACTCCTTTTCCCTTCATCTGGCGCTTCATAGCCTCCATGCCCGCCGCCATCTTCCTTATTAATTCATCTTGCTCCTTAACGCGGTCCTCCAGAACTTGAGGATCAATCCTCCGCCTTTGTCTGTCAGGACTTCGTGAACAAGAGTGACGGGGGCTGTTAGTCCGCCTCCTTCCCCTTGTATCCCTCCTGGGATTTGTCACTGTGGCCTCTAAGTCCGCCATGGAGGGATAGAAGGTAGCCTTCGCGTCTTGCACCCCCCTCTGGTGTTTGTCCGTCGATGGCGGACTACGGCAAATCTCGTGTGTGCCATTGCTTCTAAAAGGAAAGCTTGATCAAGAGGTTTTGTTCTTGTCTGAATTCCTACAGACGGCGCCAATGTACGGGAAAAAATAAACCTTCTCGTATCAATCCTGTTGATCAAGTCGCGTTCCTCCAAAACGTCGTTGCTTTACTCCCTGAAAACACAAAAAGTGAGCTAGCCGGCAGGTGTGCACCGAAAACCCCTCCAATGCCTAAGTCAGCAAAATAGACAAGTAGACAAAGCTTCTGTGTATTTGAGAATCAAAGTTGTGTTACCTCTCCATAGGTGATGTTTGTGAGCTTTTATAGGTTCCGTGTGGCACAATCCAAGTAGGACTCTTACTCCTCCATGTAGAGTCCTCCTAGGAATCACCTTCCTGAAAGATAATGCTTATTCTTCAATACCCCCCTCACTGTTTAAACCAAGTGAGATGGTTTTACCATGGTCGGACTCCAATGTGGCCGAGGTACGCATGGCTATGCTTAGCCGTAGAACAGACCGAACTATCCTTAGTTCGGTTCGTCCTTTTACTGCCCTTACCTCAGTTCCTCCTGTACAAACCGTGGTAGGTCTAAACCGAGCTAACTTTTAGCAAGGTTTAGACCGAGCTAACCATACTGCGCCATAATCGGTATAAGTTTTAGTATGGTGACCGACCTAACCTCCTTGGGACCGGAGTAACTTTACACCTCTCTTGGGCCGGAGTAACTTCATGGCCTTTTTACTCAGCCTTTCGCACTGTGGCCCATACCGGCCCATTACCCAGCTCGGCCCAATTTTCATATAAATTACCCTCTCGATACATATATATCATTAAAAGATAATAAAAAAATGTAATATGACTCTAATTTTTATAAATTTATATGAGTTTTGTTTTATTATTATATCGTAGGTTGTTTTATTCAAACTTATAATTAGTTTCACATGTATCTAATCGATAGACACGTGTGTTTAAGCAATTAACACATGTGTCTTCCAAATGTCCAAAGAGTGTTCGGGTCTTTAAAAAAAATTTAAAAATAGAACACGTTTTAAAGAGTGTCGGATATATGTTTTAAGAGTGTTCAAATAGTGTCGGTGCGATGTCCGACACGGATAAGACACAGATATGCCACCTTCTTAGATTTGTTCGTATTTCTTAGATTGATAAAGTCTCGTAATATTTATAAATTATTTTCTACCAATTCACCCCAAAAAATGATACCTCCTCCAATAGAATCTTTGATCATCTTTCCTCTCCCCTTCGATTCTGTAGTCACCACTTGACCTTCTCTAATTCAAATAAAAAATAAGTGACTTAACAAGCCGGTTTGATGCCAAGTGGCAACACGTAAAATCTAAAGAGTGCGTGCTTAAATTTTCATCTTAGCAAATGTGTTCCATGCCCAAATCCCTTTTATTTTGAATTCAAAATTTGATTAACTAGCTTCGATAATCATGCTTCATCACTTTCACATCAAATTACAAAGTTTCTTTCTTTTTTGGTGAAATTGTAATTCCTACATTAGCCTAGCCTAAAGAGAATGGGAAGGGGATGCTGGGTGTTAGTGTATATTAGTGTATCATTATGTAGTGCATTATCATGTTAGTGTAGCATTATGTTAGTGCATTATGTTAGTGTAGCATTATCAAGCTACGGCCGAATTAAAATTAAGGGTCGACTAGACAACAGCATTATGTTTGAACAGAACCAGAGAATTTCATACAGCCAGCTAGTTTCCAAGTTAGACTAATCCAGAATGTGACATTCCGGTTCCAGAGCCACAAAAGGAAGACAGTCTCCTCTTTTTGGAGGAATATTATTCAAATATAACATCACTCTCATCTCCTACACTACATTAAACTAGTCTAAGACCGTGTTTGGTAGGGCTTATTTCCAGCTTATTTCAGCTTTTAGTTTAATTTAAGCTATTTTGATGTGTTTGGTTCAGCTTAACAATACAGCTTATAGCTTTTTGTAAGTCAAAAATCCAAGTGGCAACACGTAAAATCTAAAGAGTGCATGCTTAAATTTTCATCTTAGCAAATGTGTTCCATGCCCAAATCGCTTTTATTTTGAATTCAAAATTTGATTAACTAGCTTCGATAATCATGCTTCATCACTTTCACATCAAATTACAAAGTTTCTTTCTTTTTTGGTGAAATTGTAATTCCTACATTAGCCTAGCCTAAAGAGAATGGGAAGGGGATGCTGGGGATCAACCCCGCCACAGGACAACTCATCGTGAGTACTTTGTGAGCCTCTAAGCTCTAACTAACATAAATGAAAAATCAGCAACTAATTTAGCTACGGCCGAATTAAAATTAAGGGTCGACTAGACAACAGCATTATGTTTGAACAGAACCAGAGAATTTCATACAGCCAGCTAGTTTCCAAGTTAGACTAATCCAGAATGTGACATTCCGGTTCCAGAGCCACAAAAGGAAGACAGTCTCCTCTTTTTGGAGGAATATTATTCAAATATAACATCACTCTCATCTCCTACACTACACTACATTAAACTAGTCTAAGACCGTGTTTGGTAGGGCTTATTTCCAGCTTATTTCAGCTTTTAGCTTAATTTAAGCTATTTTGATGTGTTTGGTTCAGCTTAACAATACAGCTTATAACTTTTTGTAAGTCAAAAATCAACTTATTTTTTGAGTGGAGAAGGAGAAGCTTAATTTATAAATTAAAAATCAATTTATATTCACAACTATAAGGTATAAGCCGTTAGGTTATAAGTTATAATCACTTTTCCACAACTCTACCAAACGAGGCCTAATGCCAATCAATCAGTCAGCAACCAGAACAGCTTAAGGTGATGTGCACATCTAAGCATCAAAATTCAACACCAAATCTTTTGTATTTGCGTGCAAATTCATAACTAAAAAGCTCAACTGAGTTTCTAAATATGACCAGTGTCGGTGGACGGTAATTGTTCGGCGAGCAGAACCCAAAAACTCATTAGAACATGCAACAAGTATCAAGTTATAGACTAGCATAAAGCATGGTAAGAAGTTCTAAACCCAATTCATCTAAACAAATGGTAAAAAAATCAAAGAATAGAACACATATAGATTCTATGTTTCAATTGCATTATAAATCCAATATCAAATTGATAAAGTGAATGGAGTTCACGTTTGATACACGGTGAAAGTAACAAAAGTGTTTACATAAATCACCTAAATATATATATATATATATATATGAGAAGTGATTGGTAGCTCGAATTTGAGCTCCCAAATCCCCCCGAATTCAAAAATGACGTCGTTTTCGTCGTTTTTGATTTTTTTTTTTTTTCAAAAGAAGAAAATCAGAAGAAGAGAAGGAAGAAGGAGAAAGAAGAGAAGGAGGAAGAAGAAGAAGAACTAGACTGGAGGGGCCATCAAAATTAGGCTGGAGGCGGAGGCGGGGCAGAGGTAAGGGCGGAGGCGACTGCGGAGCTGCGACGAGCTGCTGCGATGAGGCGACGGCGGGCGGAGGGACTGCCATCTCTTCCTCCTCTTCCCCTCTCTTCTCTTTCTCTCTTCTCTTCTATCTGATTCGGGGGATTCAAGGGCTCAAATTCACGGAAAAAAATATTTACCTATATATATATATATGTCATCTATGAATGAAAATCAGATGAATTGTAGAATAACTATCCTTACTGATTTTTCATTCTTGTTGAACTTCTTTCAAGAATTAAAAGTACGAGTTTGATTGAGAATTAATCGCTCACCATTTCGAGGAATCTGATTAGCATGTCGATGAGTAAACTCAAAAAACATTTTTTATCTAACTACATGAAAACATTGAATTTGATGCTGCTAAACTTTCCATATATACTCTCCAAAATTATGTGTATCCATAAATACCTTAAACACCGAACATCTAATTTCAAACATTTTAGAACACAAGTTTTAAACTTTCAGATAAGTTGGGAAAGAATGAATACTTCCTTAATGGAACAAGTAAGCGCTCAATCGAAGCGGATTAACATTTTTCTATACAAACATATATATACATACCTTGCACTATGAAAAACAAATAACAGTCTAATACTTAAGTATCGTTCCAAAAAAAAAAAATCTAATAATTAAGAGTACTATATTATATATTACACATTTTCAATCATTGTTATTGCTTAACAGAACCAACTCAATCACTACTTCAATCCAACTAGTATTAATCTAATAATTTCATGTCATGAATAAATAAATAAAAATTCAAAAGAAAAAAAAAATTTAAAAAAATTCCAGTTTACACGCAAAACAAATAATATAAAAATCAACAAAATATGATTTTAAGTTGTAGAGCCATTCCATTGTATGAAGTGATCAAATCGATCAATGTAATTGGTAATTACAATTAATAATATCTCATCTCTCTCTCTCTCTCTCTCTCTCTAAATATTAACATATATTACATAATTCAATAATAAAAACAAAAACAACATAAAATTCAAAGAGAGGTGAGCTGAAGAACCATCTAGAAGTATAGACCGGCTTCACGACGAACCGTTCGGAGGAGGAGGAGGACGAACCGAGATCTGAACCGGGATGGGCCGCCCTGTACCGGTTCCTCCGCAACTACCACAAGCTCTGCGACCCGACCCGGAACAAGTCCGGCAACCAACATCTCCATCGGACCATCGGTAACAGAGGCAAGCGACCCGGCCCGTGCCGTTGCAACTGGGGCACCGAGGGGATTGGGTTGGACCCATCATGGGGTTCTGGTCCATCACCGACTTAACGAGAGCCGCCCCGGCCAACACGCTCAGGCCCGTCGCCAGCTGAGTCAACACAATCGGACCCATCTTCGATTTCTCAAAATCAACAAACAGAGTTTTGCCTCAAGTTGAAAAGGATGATGAGAGAGAGAGAGAGAGAGAGAGATTTTGGGAGGGATTATTTTAATTGATTTTTGTTTGGGTAGTGAGAAAGTTTAATAAGGAAGAAGGAAAGGAAGTGGTGATGGGTCTGAACACGTAGATGCGTGTAGGATTGATGATTTTTTGTGGGGGGAAGAAAGAGAGTTTGGAGGGTAGTGAAGATGTTTTTGGACCAATTGCTGGGGTGTTGCCTTGTTTTCTTGTGTGGTGGGGTGGTGGACCGGTGCTGCTCTTGCGTTGTTGCTTCTCTCTCACTCTCTCATCCTCTTATTTTGGACTGTTTTGCATCTTGCTCTCTTCTCTGCTTTGCTTCCCTTGTACTCCTGGAAATCTCTGGATATTATTATTGTTATTATTATTTTATTTTGACTTGGTCGGCATCCATGACTAGACCGTCTATTTCGGACCGTGGTGATCGAAATTGATTATGTTATAATAATAATAAATTAAAATATTATTTATACTTTTACCTTGTTTAGGATTGGTTGGGGATGTCCTAAAAAAAAATTTTAATTGGCTTAGTATAACCAGCCCTTAGTATAACCTTTTTTAGCCTCTGTTTAGGAAGTGGATTGACTTTTTAATTTTTTGATTTTTTTAGTTATTTTAGTCTAAGTTAAAAAGTTTTGTTTGGAAAAGAATTTTTTGACTTTTTTTGTGAGAGAATAGTGTAATAATTATGGGTTGAATACGATATTTTGTTTATTGTAGCTAAAATAGCTTATTTTGTCTTTTGTGGCTATTTTAACCACAAACCAACTTGCCAAACATCACTTGCTTTTTATCTTTTATCTTTTTTAGGTCACATCAATAAACATCTTCTCTCTACTTTTCTATACATCTTTTTATAAAAATTTAAAATGTGCACTTATTTAGAAAATCTCAAACCACTTCTAAATCCCGATTTAACATTCATGTTGAGGCTAAATAATTAAAAAATAATAAAATTGACTATAAAAGTCGATAACACAAAATATTATTTTTTACTTGTAATCATTATACTTTTTTTCTCACAAAAATTAAAAAAAAAAGTTTTTAAATAAAAATCAAACAAGGCTAAAAAAACTAAGCTAAAAAAAGCTCAATACAAAAAAATTGACTATATTAACCAATGTCAAACGAGCTCTAAGTCTTCGTTTGGTATTGATTTTTTTAGTTGATTTTTTTGATTGAGTCTTTTTTAGGCGTCGGGATCCTCTAGAGTGAGAAGCCTGCAGTCATCTCCTAGAGTGATTGATCCAACGGTTGACATTAAATCTCACCAAAACGATGTCGTTTTGGTGAGAAATTTGCCTCTTCAGTTGCTTTGAAACTCACCAAACTCAGGAAAAAAAATTTTCCTTACCAAAATAATCTCAACCTTTGATCTTATTAGTGAGGCACGTGTCAAGCTGTAAAACATCACTCTAGAGGATCACTTCACCATATGACTCCAGAGGATCCTTGCGCCTTTTTTAGCCTTGTTTAGTTTAAATTTTTTGTTTTTTTTTTATTTTTGTGAGAGAAAAAGTATAATGATTATAGTTTGAATGTGACATTTTATGTTATTGACTTATGTAGCCAATTTTGTCTTTTTATGCTTTTTTTTAGCCAAAAATCTAAAACCAAACAAAGCTTAAAAATTAAATTGATTGAATTTTAATAAATATTTTATTGAATTATATTTGTCTAAAAAATAATTAACAAATAATATAATTTTAAAAATAATTCGGATTGTTTTGGGGAAATAGTTAAAAGTTGGCTTTTTAAATTTTTTTGACTTTTTTTTAAAAAACTTGTAAAAAATAGGAGAGATGATATGATAATGGATTTAAAGTTGAAAGTTAACTTTTAATCATATTTCCAAAATGGATTCATCTATGTATGATGAAGTTAATTTTTAGAATAAATAATCTTTTTAAAAAGATTTTTATTTGAATCATCAAAATAGATAAAATATGAATCGAATTGGAGCAATAAACAAGTGAGACAATCCAATACCATTAGATTAATGGTTTGATAAATTATGGATTATTCTCTTTCTTCTTTTCACCATATCATGGGTAAATACGGGCCTTAGCAAGCTAGTAAAAAGTTAGGTTGGGTTGGGTAGAATTTTGTAAATATGATTTGAGAGTATGAGTTGTATTTTAAATTTGTGAGTTGTGAAATTATGATTTGAGTGTAGAAAATTTGTTTAATTATGGTTTTTGAATGGAGTTTTGAATTATATGTGGAATTGAGTTTTGAAAGTTTGATTTGACATATGAAGTAAGAAAATTTGTTTGGTTATGAGTTTTGGAAAGAGTTTTCAAAACTTAATTCAAATTATTATAACTCATAACAAAACACACTACTTTCACACTATTGAAAATTCTTATCAACAATCGTAACCAAACTCTTTTTAAAATTCAATTAAAAAAATTTATTATTAACAGAAAATAACATTAATCAATTTTTTAATTCAAAATACTATAAAGGAAATAATTTTTTTTCAAAATAAATATTCAAAAAATTTAAATCATAAATATTTAAATAATTTAAATAATGTAAAAAATTTAATAAGTAAAAAATTAAAATAAATGTTCAAAAAATTTAAATCGTAAAAATTTAAATAATTTTAAATGTAAATATTTTAAATTTCAAAACAATTCTACACTCAAATCGTAATCAAACACATAAAACAAAATTCAATTAAGAAATTATTTTTAAAACTCATAACCAAACAGAGTTTGAATTTATTTTTATAAAATATTTTAAAATTTAAAAAATTAAAATTGTAATATATAAAAATTAAAATATTCAAAAAATTTAAAAAAATTGTAACATATTTAAATATTAAAGTATTTAAAATCTTAACAAAATTAAAAAAAAATTAAAATATTTAATATTTAAAAAATTAAAATATTGATTTGAATTGAGTTTTGAATTATATGTTTGGTTATGAGTTTTGAAAAGTAATAATTATGTTTTGAATTGAGTTTTGAGAAATTGATGTAGAATTATAATTTGAAAGCTCAAAACAAACACCACACTCAAATCAATGGGTAAACTATAATTTGAGAGACTTACCAAACGGAGCCTTAATTTTTAGTTTTTTTAGTTAAAAAAATTAACTTTTTTACCCAAGTCACTACCTAAAACGTTAACTTTTTTAACTAAAAAAATCAAAAATTAACTTTTTACCAACTTTTCAAACATTCATTTATCAAAAGGTTAGATGTTAGTTATTGCTATATTCAATAATAAATTAGCATGCGACACACGTGATACATGTGTAATTTAAATATTTAATGATAAAAATAAATAATAAATAATTTAATATTATAATATTTATATTACTTAAGTGATAAGTATGTTTTTAATGAAATCTAAAGTCTTGGATTCAAAACTTGCTTACGCAATTTAGACTTTCACTTAATAATAGTATAGATAGTATTAAAATGTTATATTTTGATAATGCAATAACTTCAATGGAAGATAAGTCAGACTGATCTACGCTTCCAACGGGTCTACTGGCTTTGGTGTCCTCGAAGCATGCCTGCAAAAAGATCAAAGGGGGAGATAGACCTCCGACGAACACTCCAACGATCAAGTCAGGTCAGGATAGATTGATTTTGAGGAGAGAGAGAGAGAGAGAGAGAGAGAGAGAAAAGCAAGGGGGTGAAGACTTTACCTCTAACGTATCTCGAAAGTTTCCTTATATCCTTTGCTCATCATTTCCATATCTATTCTAAGTTGTCTTGTTTTTTGAGGAGAGAGAGAGAGAGAGAGAGAGAGAAAAGCAAGGGGGTGAAGACTTTACCTCTAACGTATCTCGAAAGTTTCCTTATATCCTTTGCTCATCATTTCCATATCTATTCTAAGTTGTCTTGTTGGCCGAAAGTCTATAGCCTAATTAATATCATTCATGGTGATTCTGCATACTCCGGCATGAGGGGTATTGTCGTATTTAATGCTATAGTGACCTCATTAAATAGATGATGTGTGGATACAACAACTTTACAAGATCTTTGTCTGTTTTACGTGGCTGATTCCCTGCTTGACAAGTGTTTGAATGCAATTGGTCTTGAGCCAGCATTGGTTTCTCAAAGTTATTGGGCATTAACACCTGGACTGTGAGCTAGGCCCTGAGCCGTAGGCTGGGCCCCCTTGGGTGCCCATCAGTATCAGTAGTCCCTCATTCTCAAGTGCAGCTTTAAACCAACGAAGACAATAAGAAATAAGAGAGGAATTCCCCAAGACGTTGAAAAGAGGACCAAAGGGGAAAGAATGGAGGGATGGCGGGCGATTGGGAGCAGTCACAGTCGGTGGACAATTGAGTATGTGACCGACCATCGAGGAGGGAGTCCGACCAGTGTGGTGGTCGACCAACCTGTGTGCTGGCCGATCATGGAGGAAAACGGCCAACCGGCGTGGGGGTCGATCGCTGAAGGGATCGACCGTTGAGGGAGGTGGCCGACCTCGGAAAGGATCGACCGTTGAGGGAGGTGATCGACCTACGTAGTAACTGACCTACATGGTGGTCGACCTTGAAAGAGATCGACCGTTGAGGAAGGCATTTATGGTGCACGAGGCTCGAGGGATAGGAAAGCACGTGATGATGTGAAGTGGAATGGACGGGGGATCAAGGCTGTACACGTGGGGCAATCTAGGCCACTGGTTAAGGATATGAAGCGGTAGTAGGAAGTGAAAGGGTTGTATAGAAGTTGACGTAGGAAAGGCAAGGATTTTAACTTGCTGAAATTTTTCTAAATGGAAAATTTTAACCACAATCCTTGGAACACAAGCAAACCCTAGGCATTCAGACTGGTGTGATTTACTTACCTTATTGCGAAAAATCATTGTATTCCAGACTTTAGCTCTTTCACTTTGGTGGATTCTCTCATTTTTCACATCGCAAACTTCCTCGCCCTCGTAACCGAAGTAATATACAAAAACACGAAGGAGATGGCACAAGACAAAGCGCCAGCCATGACATCGGATGCATTAAGAAAGGATGACGGAGAGGCATTAACAGAACAATATAGAGTGGAAAGGCTTACGAAAAGGGGCAAAGAGCGGCCCCTACTGGAGACAATCATCTCGGTGGCCCAGCCAATTAGCCAAGTGGCGCCTGATCACTAGCATACCAAGGCAGAGAAATGCATGCTAACAGCAGAGGATCTGGAGGAGTTGCGGAGTAGATACCAAATTCTGGCAGATGTAGAGTTGAGATTGCCAGCAGTGAAGGTGAGGGCGTTGGATGCACAGCCGATGAAGTTCTCATTGTACGAAGAAGAGCTGCGGAAGGGTCTGAAACTACCCCTCCCCCAGCTAGTGGTCGACGTGCTGAATCGTTTGGAGGTGGCCCCAGGACAACTAATGCCGAACCCGTGGAAGATTATCTTTGCCTGTGCGATCGCGTGGCCACAGGCAACTGGAGAAGAAACGATGACGGTGGATGAATTTTTTTCATGCTACAAGGCTTCAGGGCAACAAAAGACATGGGTGACCTTGCAAGCAGTAGCTGGGAAGAGATTGGTGGTACCATCGAAGGTGTCAATCAATGGCATTTTGAATTTAGATGGTAGAGCTTTATCTCTAATACAAGCGATAAGAGGGGAATTGGCGGTGGAAGAAAGTTTATGCTGCATATCCTGCAAGACCCCTTGTAACTGAAGCTTCATGGCCCGTAATTCTTCGTCCTAAACAGGAGCATTATCTCCACAGGCATGAGTTGAGGGTTGAACACTGCTTGCCTAGCCTTCATGGATGGTGGTGTAGTGCAGTGACGGGTGGTTATGAAACAACGGTGGCCCTTCCTGATGGAGCTGCGAGCCTGGAGAAGGGGCGCGTAGATCATCGAGGTTTGACGGTTGAAGCTGTGGAACAAAGGGAGGGAATATTCCTTGGGACACATGTAAAGGGAATTGGTGATGATTGTGGGTTTGTTCCGGGTTAGGGGGGACTATTTGCGGTGGTGGATAAGGGATAAGTAAGTGGTGCTGGAGCAAAGTGTTGATCATGGCTTGGTTTTGTTCGGTCAACCGATTGATGCTATTAGTGAGTTCTGCGAAATATAGAGATGGGTAATTTGGGTTGGAGGACTCGGCTTCCAGGTTACCAGCATTATGTTGTAAAGCCATGGACCTGGTCGTGACCATCTACCCTAATGTAGGAAATGGGTGTTAACGGGGTTCCCACTGATGACAATGAACACAATTGTCGACCAGAGGAGATTTCTCACAAACGGCACCAATTGATAATGCAATAGCTTCAATGGAAGATGGGTTGGACTGATCCACGCTTCCAACGGGTATGCTGGCCTTGGTGTCCTCGAAGCGTGCCTGCAAAAAGGTTCAAAGGGGAAGATAGACCTTCGACGGACACTCTGACAATCAAGTTAGGTCAGGATAGATTGATTTTGAAAAGAGAGAGAAAGAGAAGCGAATGGGTGAAGACTTAACCTCTAACGCATCTCGAAAGTTTCCTTATATCCTTTGCTCATCATTTCCTTGTCCATTTTAAGATGTCTTGTTGGCCGAAAGTCTATGGTCTAGTTTTTATCGTTCATGGTGATTCTGCATACTTCGACGTGAGGGGTCTTGCCGCATTTAATGCTACAGTGACCTCATTAAATGGCTGATGTGTGGGTGTAATAACTTTGCAGGATCTTTGTCTGCTTTACATGGCTGATTCCCTGTCTAACAAGTGTTTGGATGCTATTGGTCTTGAGTGAGCATTGATTTCTTAAACTTATTGGACGTTAACACCTAGGCCGTAAGCTGGGTCCTGAGCCAGCTGAGCCTTCTTGGGTGCCCATCAGTATCATATTTTAATAGTGTTGCTACAAATATTATTTTTTCTATTTTTCTCATATATTATCAAATAAAAATGCTATATGTGAGGGATCCCATCATGAGAATGTTTAAAAGAAAATTATCAAAATTTAGATATAGCTATGCTAAAATATAACTCATGATTTAGCTAACCATTAAAAAAGTTAAGGGTCTATTTGGTAACCATTTCGTTTTCAGTTTTCGATTTATATTTACAAAAATTTTAAAGCTGTTATAAAAACTTGTTTGATAATTTTTTTAGTTTATAAGTGATTGTCTCAATTTATAAATTTGAGAAAAAAATGTAAACTCAAGAAATGAGTTTACGTTTTCAATTTTCAATTTTTTTTTTAAATAATTTTTTTTCAATTAATTATTCTTTTTTCAAATAATTTTTTTTTCAATTAATTTTTTTTAATTAATTTTTTTTTCAAATAAATTTTTTTCCCAATTAATTTTTTTTCAATTATTTTTTTAATTAACTTTTTTTCCAATTAATTTTTTTAATTAACTTTTTTTCAATTATAATTTGTGTGATCCCATTGTCATAAATAATAAAAATAAATATAAATATTTTAGGTCTGAACAAGCATATTTTTTAGTTTATGTTTTTAAAAAAATTTAAACATTTTATTCAAACCAAACGCGTTTATAATTTATGTTTTTCTAAAAATAAATAAAAACTAATTTATAAAATTTTTATAAACATAAATAAAAAACGTAAACGTTACCGACCTAAAAAATTAAGTTTATGTTTTTTGTTTTTGGTGTGCGTAGACAATAACAAGACTTTTACTGGACCATTGGAGAAGCTCTAGTACAGTAATTAGTACAATTTAGCATTGAACCCTTCTCAATAAATTGGAATTCTAAACCTTTGTTAAAAATTTGAGCAATGGTAGAGAGCCACAAAAACAGTGGCTTAAATGGCTTAAAACTGTCAAAACGACGTCGTTTTGTGATCAAAACCTGCCAAAACGACGTCGTTTTGACAATTTTGAGCCATTTAAGCCACTGTTTTTGTAACCCTCAAACATTTTTCTAAAAATTTAGAGGTACAAGTACCCTTAAGTCACATTCAAGCTAGCAATTTTTACCCAACCTAGCAATTTTTTCCCAACTGTAATGATCACAATATAAAAATAGCATTTCTAACTTGATAATCATTTTTTAAAACTTATTTAAGTTATTTCACTTTAGAAAATATAAACACAAATTATACTAAATACTTTAACATAAATTTTTTTAAAAAAATATTTGTAAGAAACTTTGATGAGTTACAATTAAATTAAGGTGTCTAGGTTATTTGGGCATGAAATAAAAGCACTTATTTAGATCACATTATTTTTAAGATTTTTTATCTATTTTTTTATTTATAAAAAGTGAAAAAAATACTAAGGAGTTGTTTGGGATGATCTAAATAAGTGTACTTTTTGACTTTTTATGAAATATGGGTTGGGTTTGAGTTGGGTTTGAAGTGATGTATTAGAGAGGTAATGTAACTTAAATAAGATGATGTGATTTAAATAGAATAGTGATTTTTTGACTTTTTATTTTTTTTTTAGAGTATGCCACACTTGACCTAAATATGCAAATCCCAAACATTTAAGGTGAAAAATATGAGTTTTTAATGTGATTATTACAAAGTTGTTGTTTGTATGTTATGAGTGGTGATGATTGAGTTGAGAGAGGAAAAGGTGTTTGATCCAATGGTGAGAGATGAAGTGAAATTTGGGTTCTGATTCATATTTGAGCCCATCGAAATTTAGGAAATTCAAGTTGGGGCTAGAAAAGATGGTCTAAGAATTTGACTATTTTGCACAGCAAAAGCACGCGGATCGCCGCCCCAAACAAAGCCGCCTTTCAACTTCACCGACGACGACGGTCTAAATCTCTTAATATATCATATAAATACGAATTATAAAGAAAATAATATAATTTTATATTTTTTTAATTATAATTAAAAATATAAAAAACTTATAACTAAACATAAAAAAATTATAATTAAAATTTATAAAGAATATCATAATTAAAAAAAAAGTAGTCTTAACTAAATAAAAAATTTAACATAACTAAAGATACATATAATATAAGGCGTATATAATAAAATTCTTTTATAAATCCGGTTCAATTCGTTGTAATTTCACATTAAATTTTTTTTTTTAAAAAAAAAGAAAAAGCTACAAATAATTTTTTTTTATTAGAGTGAAATAATAGTGATATTTTAAAACAAATATTAAAAGGAATCATTAAAGTATTGTTTAAAAAAAAAAAAAACTGTCTTGAAAATTTGTGAAAACATTAAAATGTGTATTAATTTCAATAAAAAATGCATTAATAGTGTTTTATGATCTACTTTTTTGTCATTTTCTTACACCAAATACACACAAATCTTTTACATAATTATGTTCAAATTTTTATATGTCTATTCCGTCACATGTTGGTCATTTAGAATGTGAATAAAATAGGGTACCTTGATGTTCAAAGTGAGTAGGAGTGGACTTTTCTCTGGTGTTTAGCAATTGTCTTATTGATTGGTCAAAAATTGAAGGAAAAAAAAGTGTTGAATATTACCCTACTATTTTTGGCATGTGAACAATACATTTAACAAGACAATATAGCACAAGGATTGAATTTCTCAACCTAATATAAAAAATATTCTGTAAGACTCTTTCTATGTTTAAAAAATAGTGGGACCCACCAGCCCTCTCGAAAAATAACAGCAACAGAAATTACAGTGAAGCCCAAGCAAGATATGTCCTGGAGTCTGGAGATAATAAGAATGAACATTATCTTTATTAACTTCTTATATTTTTTTTTTAAGAATACAAAATCATATTTCAAAATTTGGATGAGAAAGAAATACAACTAAAAAACTTGTCTGACATTGATGTTAATCCTTGAAGTTCTAATGTATTCCAATAAACAAAGATCATTTTGCTGTGAGAATTGCAGCTCAAGAGGGTTGATTTCGGCTTTTTCTTCATCCGTGAAGATCCTGGGCACACCTGCAAAATTAACGAACCAAGCAGACGGATCAGTTGGTTTGGAAAGAATACTGGTCTGTACAAAATCATTGGATTCACTGAATGGCAAAATGTTGAAGGCATAGATCACAAAATAGATCATACATAAAAACTGTGACTTGCTTACACAAAACAGAGACTATATGATTATAAAACTGACCATGAAAGCATTCCCTCGCTTCTCCAGCCATTAGCACAACATCACCACTTCGAAGGAACATTGCCACTGGCGGATCCTGCCTAGACTTCCCTCCAAGAAGGAAAACAGCTTTACAGCCCAAACTGAAAGAAAATAGAAATTTCAGGGCCCAATATAATGTCTTTAGCTCCGTCTATTGGAAGTGTGTGCATGTGTGTGAATGTGAGCGTATAATGAATAGCATGATACCTGATGCTAACAATAGGTTTAGTCCAATCCGCTTCCATGTCATCAAGGTGGCCCCCAAGTGTATCACCTGGCATGAGCAGTGCACAAACATTTTTTACTAAATAATTAGACTTGTTGAGTTTATGAGCTATTTCCTTCTAACATCTCAATAACTAAATTCTCAGGAAAAAAAATTAAATACACAAACACACAAATTCTCGTAATCTACTTTAAAACCAAACACAACATTCAAAAGATAGCTATGACTAAAGAGTACCTAACCCGAAGTAATTCACTATTGCAGCTTCTGGGCGAAATTCTTCCCCACCTGGCATTGCAGGTGCTGCCATCTTTTTAGCCAATTGGCAAAGAGCATCGGGGATCTTGTTGTGTGGAAGACATACATTGTAATTCCGCTGCACAAACATGTAAGAAAGTTACTTCAGATATTACTGACGAGTGTATCTCACAGAACTACAATGAAACAATGTTCAAAATAAATTGATGACCGTTGTTCATGCCAATTAAACAAAGATGTGCAATATGACATATGTATTAGAATTGTAATTCAAGCCAATTGATGAAAAAACTTACACGGGACACAGGTCAAAACAGATAGTTGGTGCAAATATCTTATGAAAGTTCAATAGACATCAAACGATATAGAAATTCACAGTGGTGACCTCATAGCTTGAAGCAATACCAACCATGGTCCAAATGGGTTGCTAGTATTGAAAGAAATAAAGGCCATAGTACTCAATTTGAGATAAAAACTGAAAAAGAACAATATGAAATTAGCAATCACCTTGGACCAGTCAAATTGCAGTCCAAGAGTACTCCACCGTAACTTCTGCAGCAAACCAGATGCTGGTATCGATTTCAACATATTTCCTCTTGATGATACACCAGGTTCCTTACAAAATTTCCATCTAGGACCATCAACATGACTGACAAAAGAATTAAACTCAGAACCCTCATCTGTGTAGGAACTATCCTCCTCAACTAAAATTTTTCTTTCTCTAGCTGCAATAAATAAGTCATTTATAGGCCCGTAAATTGCATTATGGTTCGTTCTATTAGGAGGCTGTGGGAAACTTGTTAAGCTCTCCCGTATCCAGTGGCATTGCTCCTCAATACCAATTGCCCCAGGAATGAAATAAAACCCTGCATTGGATCAGAACAACATAACAAAGTTCGTAAAACCAAATTGAGAAGCTAGTTGTAAAAACAGTGAAATTTTTGGCAATGGAAAGGGAACTTCGTAAGATTGGACTCTGCTGAATAAATCTATCAAATTTAACTATTGGGTGCAAAGTTTGAAACCTAATTGACGTAATGTTAAAATCTGATAAACAACAAAGTAATGTTAAATTGTTCAACTAAAACCCGATGTATAAATTTCAAATTATGCAACACGAGTTCAGAGTTCCAGAAAAGCATAGCAAAATCAATCTACATTCCTAAAATCCCACTATATATGACAATAACATAACAACACTCCAATTTTTTTAATTCGATCACAGTTCCATTTAGCTCATACCAAGAGTGTACCAACAATCAACACAAAACAAATTGCTTTCGTTACATTCGCAACAGTTCATCTTCATGCATATGATTAAAATAAAAATATCAAACAAAACAAAATTGAAAATCAGCAAAACCATAAATGCACACAATACCTGGGCGACTTTGCAAGCAAAAAATGGGCCGATCAAAATCACATGGAAACAATAATGTTCCTGGAGGAAGGTCCTCCTTTCGATTGAATGAGTCTTCGATGGATTTGAAATCAACAACCTCAGATAAATCTACTGCTCTGGGTTGTTTTTTCCTAAATATAAACACAACAACACATACATGGATTATTTGCAATGTATATATGTAGAATCACACAAAATTAAGATGAAAAAAAAGGGGCTAAAAATCTTTACTTTTTTGAAGATTTGAAGTTGTGATCGTAATAGAGCTTGTATTTCTTCTCTGCCTTCCTGAAAGCGGTTCTCTCTGAATCATCGGCTGTGGCTACTTCAGATCCGTACATTTTCAAGAATTAATTGAGGATTTGAAGGGATGAGCTGACGATGATCAAATTAGGGTTTTTGCTAGGGTTTCGGTGTCGTCGTTCCATATGAGCAAAGTTTGCAGTGACGGTAATCAGGTGCTCGTCAGATCACCAAATATAGTAGTCTGACCATTGGAACGGTGTCGTATGGGTGAATTTCTGGAAGTTCTGGTTTCAAAATATGATCTGAATGGACTAGACTACCAATCTTTTATGACTGAAGTTGCAGCAGAACTACCCTCAGAAAGGTGTTATTGACCCTCCTCCCTTTCGCCCTGCCGATTTTCGTAAAGTTACAATATTACCCACGAGAGCTAGGTTTTTTTTTTTTTTAATATTCTAAAAAAAAATCAATTTAGAGAATTGACCATTTTTTCAAACTATTTAAGAAATTAACTTATTTTTTGAAATCCTATTTTGAAAATGCTTGTTTGTTTGTTTTTTTTTTCTTTTTTTTTAATTATGGAGAGAAATTAATGTCTTTCTAGCAAATCAAAATTTTATATTTTAGTAAGATTACCATCACACACTCTTTTATAATATTTCTTACTACCTACTTGCAATAAAAGTAAATCACATGTCACGTGATGATGTGGGGTCTATATTTATTGTGAGTAAGAATAAAAAATGTGTATGGCTAACTATTTATATTTTGTGTTATATAAATTGCATATTCAGAGATTTTACAATTTTTTTAAGTTAAAACAAAATTATTGAAGAAATACTATTACTAGTTATATTCTTGATAATCTAATACTAATATCAAGTCCAAATTACGACATGTAACAATTATATTGATTCCAATTTCAAAAGAAAATCTAAAAAACTTATTTACTTTTTTTTTCCATCAATTCTTATGGATGGAAAATACTTATATTGATAGATCTTCACAAATATCCTGTATAAGAATCAAATCACTACTTATCTTTAAAAAAAAAAAAAAAAAAAGGAATCAAATCAGTAGAGTCTACTCAGGAGATAAACATTGATGACTAAGTTAAAAGGAGCTCGAATGACCCGAATTTATTGGCAGGCTATCTCACCTTCGTGAGTCACGCCTATGGCCTTTTCTCTCTCCTCTCTATTTCTCTTTTTCTCTGACTCCAAAACCATTCATGTTTTGGCAAAGCAAAGAAAAATACAAAAGAAGTGCTCTATTAGTTTCAACAATGAGGCATTCATGTTTTGGCAAAGTAAAGGAAAATACAAAATAAGTGCTCTGTTGTGTTAGAAAAATGATTTGAAGACAAATAAGTTTCAACAATGAAGCATCAACAAAACAGTTAACAACAACAACGAAGCATCAACAACAATGAAGAATCAACCAAAAAAAAAGAAAAGAAAAGAAAAAAAATAGAGCAACCCAGTACAACAATAAAAAAACAGAGCAACGTAATCAGAAATCCTCCAAGAAGATTGTGAGATTCTAAGCAACCAACCGAAGAAAAGAATCAAGAAAAATAGAAATGGGTATCAAACATTTTTTTTTGTGTTGATCTCTCTCTTTTCTTTTTCTGAAAAAAGCTTTGTCTTCTTTCTCTCTCTATTATCTTTCTCTATTCCGTTTCTTCATGACAGACCATCGTTGACAACCATCAAGTTCCCAAATTTTTAATCAAAACTATCTCATAAAAATCAACAATCCCAAATTCATAAATAAAAAAAGAAGAAGAAGAAGAAGAAGAAGAAGAAGAGGAAATCTATGTTCAGTCCCAAATCAAAATATTTACAACTGATTCAAGCAAAAAATCAAAATATTTTCAACTAATTCAAGCAAAATCTATCTTCTTGGTTCGTGTTTACTCTCGCCTGCGATCAGTGATTTGAGAAAGAGATCGTTTCTTTTCATCGGTGCGCGAGGGAGATCGTCGACGGTGAGTAAGAGAGAGAGAGAACATCAGCGGCGTTGAGTGAAAGATCGTCATCGGTTGGTTGTGCTGAGCGAGAGATTGTCAGCGGTCAGCGGTTTGAGAGAGAGAGAGAGAGAGCAGAACTGTGAGGTATTTCAAAAATATAGAAGAGAGATGAACGTGGTTTCACTCAAGTCTAGGCAATTGGGCAAAAATATTCGAGCCGCTCGGGGGCTTCCAATTCAAGTTACATAGCGCGATTACAAATAGTTTTACAACTGATCATCAAATAAGTGTTCATTGCTCCCTTTCTAGTGGGGATAGGCCACATGGCTTGTGAAGACATGGATCATCACTTGTGGGCTACTTGATAACGTCAAATCCTTTTGATTCACTTGAGAAAGACACTTGGCAATTGGTCAGTTAATTACACGATAGCATGACAAACACTTACTCGACTTCATAGTTTGAACTACAATTGTAGTGCGATGGTATTATCTTCTTATTACTTCCCTATTGCACTTTTCATATAAACGGAGAGATAAGACATTTCATAATCAACCCATTAATTTAACATTTTTGTATAAAAATCTTTATTATTATGAAAAAACTCATAATTAAGTTCAATTTTTAGAAATTGTGACTATTTTTTAGAATTGAAAACAGAAACAACAACGATCTCATTATAAGAAAAAACAAAACAAAAACAAAAACTATGATCTCATTATTGTTGCAAAATATGAAGGGTAACTTGGTCTTTACAAGCTATTGAGAACAGTATGCCCTTCTTGCTCATAGAAATAAGTGGTGTGCCCATATCACTGGAAATGTGAAAAAGAAAAACGGGCCAAAATTTTCCTCCTTTTTCCGGGGAAAAGTTTAATCCAAGAGATGGATGTGATTGTTATTTCATTTGTATGCAATATATGAGTTGAACACGAGTCAGAAAAATCAAAGGATCAGAAAGAATGGCGTGCAGGACTGTATTCAGAACGGTGTTCTTGACGGAGCCGTGGCGACCTTTGCCTTGTAATCGTCCATCCTTTTCTTGTATACCATTCATTACCCACAAATCCTCAATACCCACCTTGAATTGTGGTTGTAGAATTGGTAGGGTTCGAGATTTCCAATTTGCTCGACAAACCCAACGTCTCAATTGCTCTCACAACGAAACCCAATCGTCATCTCCAGAAGACCATGACCAAGGTCCCCCTCAAGAAGCTGTTCTCAAGGCCATTTCAGGTCTGTATTTCTAATTCTGTCCTTTGAATTTTCATGAATTCATGATATGCCTATGTAAACACTTGTGTAGTATCAAATTTTTGTATTCTGTTCCTAAATTATCTATGAAATTTAGTTTGGTATGTGTGTGTATGCAGTGCATGTATAATTTGCACAACTTGCAAAGATTAAAACAGCCAATTGTCCCAAAATGTTAGTGTTGAATGTTGGGTGGTTTGATGGCACTGCCGAATTCTCTGTATTTTTCTCTGATAGTATGTATGAAGGGTCCATTTGAATTACTCTCTGTGGAACTAGTGTTAAAGCAAATCTAATGAGTGCCCTTGGGGGTGTTGTTTAGTATTGGGATTAGGGTGAAAAATGTCTTGGAAATAGGCGAAAAAATGTTTTGCATTCTGTAAAAAGTATTTTGATATCAATAAAATGTGTCTCATAGGTATTTGTTAGCAAGGCCCAATTAAAATTGGCATAGGGGTTTGTAAATCCATTAAGTATTGATGAGCTGCCAGGGTTCAGGGAATTTAAGGCTTTTTCTAATCTTTCACAATTCGTCACAATTTTTTTTTGGTCTTTTGTCACCTGAAGAGCAGTGGACCATGATTTTTAGCTATATCACTTTAGTATTATGTGATTGTTAATTTTATTGATTATAGGTTGCCGTTTGTAGAACAAAGTATTTATTCATCAGTGTAGACTTACTATTGATATGGATTCAGAAGTATCAAAGACAGAGGGACGGGTTGGACAAACGACAAATGTTGTTATTGGAGGTACAGTGACTGATGATTCTACAAATGAATGGCTTGCACTGGATCAAAAGGTATAGTGTCGTGTAGTGTCATATGCTTTACTAATTTCCACTGCCTTATCAGAAATTGCTTATGTGCCTTTTTAGCATTGGAATTGCATTTTCTTCTTTGAAGATTACACCTTTGTGCCAGTCCGTACAATTTTATTTATTATGGTTTTGACCTATGGCACGTGCATCTAATTGCATCCAGGTGTTTGTAAATATCAAACCATAAATAGAAGTATATTTATCAGATATTGGGTTTGGACTACATGATATCAATAATGCCTGTTCAATGTCTAATTTTGACTATTCAGGTGAACTCTTACCCAACATTGAGAGGGTTTACGGCGATTGGAACTGGAGGTGATGATTTTGTGCAAGCTATGGTTGTTGCTGTTGAATCTGTACTTCAGCAGCCAATCCCACAGGTAAGTATCCCTTTTGTTTGCTGAAATCAATTCATAACTAGAGTTGTTTATGGGTTGACGGATTGATACATGAAAGGCAAATTAATTAAAGATTGGCTATGGAAATTTTGTGGCTCTCATAGTTTGGTTTTAGCTACACACTGTAATGTACTATTTTGTTTTTCATTCATAATTTTACTCTCAATGTTGGATTAGAAGTATCTTGTTGGCAGAGGCTGAAACCCATAAAAAATTGTAAGATGGACGGACGGATTAGAATATTAAATAGGATACCATTATTTGGGAGAGTGAATAGGATATAACACAGAATATTAAACAGGGACATATGAATGATAATTAACCTATATTTTTTTCTTTTAATTCCCCATCTCCTGAGAAAATTATTCAAACTGTGAATCTTCTGTATACAGTTTGACTTAAAGAAAGAGCAAAGGGTCACAAAGCTGCCTGTCTCAAATGAAGTACGATAACGCATACTAGCATTGTGATTTATGGTATATTGGATAGGACAGCATGGATTTCGCAAATTAAATTGGAGACCTTCATGTGTTTAGGTGAGTTTTGAACAATTAGCTAATTGGTGCCTGAAGTAGATATGATGTGATTTCATTAGCTTTCTAGACGTGAAACTCAGTGATGTAGCACCAACAAAGCAAAGAAGAGAAAATAGGGAACCAATCTCAATCCCAATCCCAATCCCAATACCAATCAATATCTCAATATCAGTTATTCAAAACTCATACCAAGTCTACCCTAGAACGTTTACATGAAGCCTATATATATATCTAATAAGGAAACCTAGGAATAGGAAATCAAGGAATTGGAAACTACTAATAAAGCAATAAAAATCCTATTAAACCATTATTTCTAATTATAGTAAAATTCATATAATTTTCTATTTATTAATGATGTCTTTTCAATCCCCATCACTCAGTGGGACAAGTTATGATATGTAAGAGTGATAAAGAAAAAAATTGAAGCAAGAAATTAGAATAGGAAAGAAATGTTGATGCCTTGGTTAATTGATTCCTCATAATACATTGTATCTCTTAACTAATGCTTTATGCTACTATATGGTATTGTTTCGGTATTAGAAGGACCCCATGTGAAACTAGAATCAGAACATGCTGCTTTGCACAACGTAAATATCGTTAGTCGAAAGACGCTAAACAAAATAAAAATTGTAGCATGGAGCACGTTTAGTGCATCATGCAATGAAGTTTCAGAATATTTTGAGTCTTTATTTGAGGTATTTTGGTAATTTTAGTAATTGTTGGACATGAGTAGTTAATCATATGTTGAACAGGAGTAGTTAATCATATAGTCCATGGACAATAAATTGAGAAATTTTAATGATGGACAGAAAATTATTTGAGGTATTTAGGCACAACCATTTTTAGGCTGGTAAACTATGATGGCCAGAAAATTTCTGATGTTCGTGAGCCGCTCATGGCAAAGCATTTTATAAATCTAACTTCGTAATGATCTTAAAGTGGCAGTAATCTTTTGCCAGTATGCTTAAGTAGTATTCTTTGATAACTTTTTCCTACACTAGTAATTGCCAATGGCACTAAATCCTCAGGTTGTGTGTGGATCTTTAATTTGTGGAGAGATTTGGATTTTTTTTTGGGGTGATATCCCCAGTTATGTTTCTATAAACAACACTTTGGTCATGTTTGTTTGGGTGGACATGAGCTTGGGATTGGACTAATAGTCCAATAAAATTACTAATCCAATGTTTGATTAAACAATTGAAGTACGGACTAATTATTTTAAACTTGACTATTAGTTAAGATAGGATACATAATCCAATTGATTTGTACCCCTAGGACTATTAGTCATGGGAATGCTAATCCAGTCCGCCCAAACAAACATGGCCTTGATGTTTGGAAGATTATATTTACCGCAGTGAATTGCTAATGGTGATTTAATATTATTTTGGGTTTGTAAATATTTTTGGAGGGGGGAGGATTTTCTGGAGTCTTATTTCCTTATCATTATATGAATAGAATGCTATGCAGTTATAAAAAAAAAATTCTTCTGTCGAAACTGTTTATTCATATATCTTGTTTTTCTGTCCAAACGGGCAGGGAATCAAAGCCTGACCACTAGGCTGGGCACTTGCTCATTGTAGCCAGTATTTTTGTATTGTAATCTAATGCACCATGCTTATTTTGTTTAATAACAGGGCCAGGTGAAGCATAAATTATCTTCAAGGGGAAAGTATGTATCGGTAAACATTGGGCCTGTTCAAGTCATTTCTAGTGAGCAGGTCTCTCTCTGTCTCACTGACACACACACACACATACACACACGATGCCATGCAATTCCATAATGAATGTATACGGTTTCCCAATTTCTTATCCATTATAATTTCTTCAAGTACTACAGTTTTTCAACGATTAGGGATTCATGTTGTGAACAGAGCTCTGTTTTGCCTATTCATGCATGGTGTCTAGATTTGCATATGAGTAGTACTATACAAATAAAAAATTTATACAAAATGATGTGCCAAGTTATGATTTTATCACTTTAAAGCAAAAAACCCATCAAGATGACTTGCATTTTCAATAATGTCATTGTCACATCATTCTTGTCACAAATTATGCCTAAAAATTCTGCAAGCATATTATTTATTTATTTATTTGTGCATATAGTTGAAGACTTTTGGGATACTCATTTTTTATGTGCCAGACTCGAGAAGTATTGCTGACTAGGGTTTTATTGTGCATTTCCAGGTTCAAGAGGTATACAATGCCATGAGGAGAGATGACCGGATGAAATATTTTCTGTAGTGTAATTTTCGTCTGTATTCTGTATAGAGTTCTACTTATCTAGGCACTGTTTTTGCCCAATGTCGTTTGCTTTTTATTTCCCAATTCTCTAATCCTTTGTTCTTTATTAAAAGCAAAACCTTTGTAGGCTAAGAGAAAAATGATTTCGAAAGTAAACTGTTTTCAAATTAACCGGAGATGGTTTTGATATACAAAAATTACTCGTGATTCAGAGATTACTGTTTGAATCTTCCATTTAAAAGTTCGGCAGAATAAAGCTGGACCGAGGTGTCAGTATGAGTATGGAGGATGGATAATGGATTGTCAACAAATATGATTCGATTATAATGCAAGTTCATTTGGTAGAGTTTTCTAATTATGATTTGAGAGTAGGAGTTGTATTTTGTGTTTGTGAGTTTTGAAATTATGATTTGAGTGTAGAAAATTGTTTGGTAAAAGAGTTTTGAATTGAGTGAAAAAATTTTGATGTGACATATGATATTTGATACAAAAACTTATAACTCATAATTAAACATACAACTCAAAATTCTATTAAAGCACATAAAAAAAATTTAAAATATTTTTTTTGAATATATAAAAATTAACATATCAAAAAAAAAATTGCACTGTTTTGGTCAATCGGCCGGACGTCCAGTGGGACGATCGGTTAGGCCAAATTTCAAAAAAAAAAATTTGAAAATTACCCTCTCAAACAAAGTTTTCTGCAGAATTATGAAAAATTAATTTCAAATACCTATCCAAACGTCATATTGAAATGTGGGAGTAGAATCAACGTTTGGAAATCATTCCAAACAGAACCTATTATTGTTCAAAATGATTACTCTTTTTTGATTTGGAGTTTTTAAGGGTAGTTTTTTGAATTTTTAATTCGTATTTTTATATTTTTAGTGATTTTTTAAAAATAATTTATTTATTTATTTTTTGGATTCATTTAATTTTGATGTACTTAAAAAATATAATTTTTGTATAATTTTTTAAAAAATTGAAAACATATTGAATTTTTATGTTTTCATTTTTTATTTGGTGAATTTTTTTAAGTTATTTTCATAAATATTATATTTTTTAAGTATATTTAGGTTAGGAGTATCTAAAAAATAAAAAAGTGATGCACCAATAAATCCCAAATTAATAACTTATGCACTGTTTAGTCCTAAAAGTTTTCTTATAGACTGAAAGGTCCCATTACAATGTTAATAACATCAGATACAATGTTAATAACATCAGAGTCATGTTACAAACATTGGATTTCAAACATCTAATGTTCATCAAATTTCAATAATATTTGAAAATATAGGATGAAAAACATCTAATGTTCATCAGATTTCAATAAATTTTGAAATTATAGAATGAAACATCAGATCATTTACATCATTCACATCATGTTGATGTAAAAATGGGACTAAATGGAGCATAAGAAAACTTTTAGGACTAAATGGTTCAACGTTTCAAAAACTAGGACTTATGGGTAAATTTTCCTAAAAAATTTTAAAAATTCAGTAAAACAAAAAAAAAATACAAAAAATGTATAAACCAAACAAGGTCTCTGCAATTTTCAATCTTGTTTTGTAGAAACCTATTTCTCTGCATGGATTCGGGGTTTGAAGCAAGAGGGCATGTATTGGGTAAAGGACAATCAGTTTTGACCGAGTAACTGCTTGTTTGTTTGATTGTGTTTTTGGTATTTTCACAAACAAAAATAATGAAAGCACCATGGCTAAGGCGTTGTCACTGCCAGTCTAACGTCTTGCATGGGTAAAAACAAAGGCAAAATAACGAAACAGTGAAAATAATTTGTAAATAAATGGGTAGGTTTTGAAAATGACAACTGAAATGGACATCACAAAAAGATTTAAAATGAGGAGGAAATCACACCTTTTTCTTTCTTTTTTTTTCTTTCTATTTCACTGTTCTTCCTCTCCAACTTCCACCAAGATTCTCCATTGTGGGCTATAATTTCCCCGTTGTTCCTAGCCCCTCCCTTATCCTCTCTTGCCCTCTTTTACCACTCCGAACCCAACCAAACCCAACCCAACCCATTTCTCCATTCCTTTTCCGCTCCCTTCTGCCTCAGCTCCTCCCTTACCCTTTCCCACCCTCTTTTGCCACTCCAAACCTAGGGGTGTAAAAATAACTCGTGACCCGTGGACGGTCCGAAATCCGTCTGCGGTCCAAAATGGACCCGACCCATTTAGGCCCACTTGGGCCCAGGCCCAAGCTTAGCCCGAGCCCCTGGGCTAAGGCCTGAGCCATTGTTTTGAAGCTCAGCCCATGGACTCGCTTAAGGCCCGGCCCGAAGCTCAGCCTGTCCAAAACCCAGTATATTTTTTAATGAAAAATAATAAAATTTTGGTAGAAAAAAAATAAAAAAACAAAAAAAAATGGTTAGCCCCTCTGATCTCTTTCTGTCGAGAATCCACACCTCTTTTCTCCCTTCCACTATTGCAAATTTTTGTTATGTACAAGTCTTACTGTTGCTCAGTGCATGTGTGCAATGCAAGTGCAATTTTTGTAAGGTTGGAAGGCTTTGGGTGATTCCGGTAGCGAGAGTTAAGGTTGATTGGGTTGTTGGGTGGAGTGGAAAAGGAAGATTGGGGTGGAGGGTGGCAAGGTTTGGAGTGGTGAAAGCCGGCGGGAGAAGGGTTGTGGGGGAATTCATAGTCATAATCCCCCGATATGTAAAACGAGCTATCACTGGATATAGATTCATATAGTCATAAGAATAATGCTAGAAACCCCAAATATTCTACCAAAAGTTTTACCAAATGTCTCACGTCCCATGTGAGTCCCACATCCATGTGAGGCATTTGGTAAAACTTTTGGTAGAATTTTTGGGACCTCTAGCATTTTTGTAATCCTGCAATACATAAAAATTTCGAGCATAAAAGTAACCCCGCGTTACATGTTAGAGTGGAAAAAGCATTACAGCTTACAGTGGAAAGAGTAAAACGAGCTAACACGGGATATGGATTCATAGTCATAATCCTGTGATGCATAAAAACTGAGAGCATAAAAATAACTTCCCATTAGTGGAAAGAGCATTACAGCTTGTTTTTACGAGCATAAAAATAACTCCACATTAGTGGAAAGTGCATTACAGCTTACAGTGGAAAGATCATAACGGTATTGAAGTCCTGAAGTCGAGAAAAATAAACCATCAAGATGAAAAGAAATAGAAGCTTCCCTACTCAGTTTTGGGAGAAATTTCAAAGTCTAAGAACACAGAAACATATCATAGAACCAGACACAAAATGTATATAGATGAATAAGATTTTTTTAAATGTTAATCTCATTAACAAATTTTGTAAAATCTTGCTCATTCATATATACTCTATGTCCGATTCTATAATATGTTTCTGTGTTAATAGCAAAACTAGAAATTTCACCCTCACGTGCAAAATGTAGACACAACCTCAACTGGGGACAGCAACAAGAAGATGGCCATAGCGATTGTGACTAGCCCGATAAGTTGGGGAACGTGCTCAGTCCTGATAGTCCCACTAGAGTCATTAGCTGTTGATGGTGATGATGTCCCTGTCACTGTGCTAGGACTGGTTGTCGAAGAAGAATTTGTGAAGATCGCATAGTCAGGAGAGGTTGAAGGAATTTTTAGAAGCTCTGCTTGTTAAAATAATTAAAAAGAAAAAAACACTACACAAAGTTAGCAAAAAGTTAGTGCCCGAAGATCATTAAAGTAGATATGAAGAAAATGACAACAATGTCGACTGAGGCAGGAAACAAATTGCAGTTTCCTTATAAACTACAGATACATAACATCAAAAATTAGCTCGTTGGTTGTTGGCTATCATTTTTGCATTAAACACATGTCACTGTTCTGACTGGAGACTAATCACGTAATTTAGTTTTTTTGGTTCTTTGTAAAGAGGCCTTTCATGAATTAATGACTAGTTAATTCTAATCCTAGTTTCAAGAATGCCCAAACAAATAATGCATTTGCGTATAGTAAAATCACATTCATAAACACTTTCTTGGCAATTTGGTATTTATTTTTGCACAAGTGGTGTTGGTATGTCACATATTCATGGGCATCAATCACTAACATTCCGCTTGGATCATAGGAAACTAATGGAGGAAGAAAAGACGAAAGAACCCATTTTACACTTCAAAAATTGCTTTTATCTTCTTCCCTATAATGGACTTTGGAAAAAGCAGTAAAAACCTAATATCCCAATGTCTCCATAACATTTCTTGAGTACTGTATTTACTTTAGAAAATACGAAAGTAGTTTTAAAAAGAAATTCAGAGAAAACAAGAAAGTTCTCATAGCTAGGGACGTTTTGAAGTAATTATTCTACTTACACATAAATCAATCACAAAATCAGACACAATTTTCTCACATAGACGTGCAACCCACAAAAGAAAAAAGAATCCACCACATATAAGATAGTTGTGTCTATTTCATATTCAATTTACGTATTTTTAGATTTTTTTTTCTGTTTTGAAATGCTTTTATCTAAAAGAAGAGAAGGAAACAAATAAGCCTATAGCATAAGCAAACAAAAAGCTTGCCTTGCCTAACATCACAGCCACTGGTTGTAATAAACACACATCACCCACAACCACCACAGCCTGCCCTTCATCATGGCCATAAATGATGCACAATACCATTGACACATCACGGTCGCCACTATGTCGGGTTGTTACACTTACGCTTTCTTCATATTTATTTCAATTATTCTTTCAAACCGGTTAGGTCAAAATTAATGCTTTCCTGGCCAATAAATAAAAAAAATAATAATAACAAATAAATAAAACTAAAAGATTAATTGTTTCCAACATTGTCAAGAAGATACTACATTAAGGCATCTTTTAAAAAAATAAAACCAAAAACATAAACATTCGATTAGAAGTTTAACAACATTAAATACTTGTCTTTTTAACAAATTATATACCATATTTCACCAAACATGAGAGATATATTACTAAATAATGAGCATTGTTAGGAATCAAAAAAAAATATTATGAAATATTTTATGAAAGTTCTCCACTTTTGAATTACACATATAATAAAATACCACACATTGATTAAATGATGAAAAATTTTCATGATCCCTAACATTACTCTTAAATAATCCCCACAAGTGCCTGCAAAATACATGTTAGCAATAGTTTTAATCAAAAGTACTTGCAATACTAATTGTGTATCCTTTAATTCAACCCAAATTGTCTCATATTTGATTCATTGCCACATTCAGATGATGTTCGAATTCATTTGACGGTATGATGGTATTATTTAAATTTAAAAAAAAAATGATATAGGGATTCAAAATTCATTTGGATTTTTTATTTATTTTTTAACATTCAATTAAGGTTTCTTGAAGCATATATGAAATATGTATTATAACTCATTTTAAATTAGGCAATTGAGATGCCATTGTACTTACAACTATCTTTTCAAATGATACTAAAATTGCCCATACCAAAAAAATAAAAATATAAAAGTTGATTTTGGTACATAAAAAATTAATAAATACACAAAAATATGAAAAATATACTGAATTTTTATATATTTTTATATATTTTTGATATTTAGTGAATTTTTTGAAGTTTTTTTTACAAATATTATATTTTTCAAGTGTATTTATGTTAAGTGTCTAAAAATTAAAAAAATTGATTAAAATATTTAAAAAAATCAGTGAAAACAAAAAAGTAAAATTTGTTGAAAAGTGAATTCATAGAGTATTATCAGCTTGTTTGGTTCTAATTTCAGAAAATAATTTTTTGAAAATTCTATTTTTTTTTATTTTTCATATTTTAATATTTTCAATGATTTTTTTAATATTTTAAGCATTTTTTTTAATTTTTAAACACATCTAACATAAATATACTTAAAAAGTATAATATTTGTGAAAAAAATATTTAAAGAATATACTAAATACCAAAAAATACAAAAAAAATACAAAAATTCAGTAATTTTTTTATATTTTTGTGTATTTATTAATTTTTTAAAATATTTTTTCCCAAATATTTTGCTATTTAGATATATCTAAGTAAGATGCATCTAAAAAATAAAAAAATTTGCTTAAAATTTAAAAAATATTCACTAAAAACAAAAAGCAAAAAAACTTAACTTTTAAAAAATTAAATTCAGAAAACTAAAACCAAATATTTTTTCACCAAATATTTTCACAAATATTTTTTCTTTTTTTTCTTTCTAATGAATCCTAAACATGCTTTTGGTAAAATTTTAAAAAAAAAAAAAAAAGAAGAAGAAGAAGAAGAAGAAGAAGAAAGATCTCTTAGCACTCGTTAATGATTAAAGAGATGAAAACATAAATCGTATAAAATTGAAGCTTTGTTTCTCACTAAAATGGCAGAAGTCAAGATCAATCATTATTTAAAATTTTTATAATACTTAAATCACCCCTTTAAATATAATTTTTGTTTCCCACTTTTTTTTTTTTTATGGGCAAAAATCAATAATTAGTTATTAGATTAACATTTGAAAGAATTGAAATCACACCCATACCCCTTACACCTTACACCTTACAAAAAAAATCTTACCTTCCCATTAAAAGAGACTTGATTTTGTTTCTCACATGGTAAATAAAATGAGATGTGTGTCTATTTTTATTTATTATGGAAAAAGCTTTGGACCCCAGTGGGGCTACTGGGGTCGCATGTGATTGGTCTAAAAAAAAAAAATTGTTTTTTTTTTTTTATGTTTTCCGCCAACCCCTTGCTGCCACATCACTGGGATGCGACCCTTAGGGTCGGAAGCACGACTCATTTATTATTCAACCAACAACTTCTTTCTTCAATAATATTTAAGTGTTTTAATTTAAAAACTTCAATTTAATACAATGATGTAAATAGTATCCATGTAAATGTAAAGCCCAAGCCCACGCTCCTTTCCCTGCCTCGCTCTACTCTCCCTCTTCCATCTCATCTAAGGTCTATTTTGGCAACATGGTTTGTAGTCACTTTTTTTGGTTAGTAACAAAAGTCAAAAGTTGATTTTTTTGTCCTTTTTTTCATTTGGGAAGTTGGTTTTTAGCCAACGGTAAAATTACAATTTTACCCCTCATGGGTCAAAATATGTTACATAAGTGAAGTTGTAAATATTTTAAATAAACGGAGGTAGTTTAGTCATTTTATTATGATTTGACATCATAAACAAACATTAATCAAAAAGGTCAAAAGTCACTTTTTACCAACCTCTCAAATCATTTGTCTAAAAAAGCCAAAAGCTTGGTTAAAAGCCAAAAAATCACTTTTTACCATATTCCCAAAACAACCCTAAGCCTCCGTTTGGGAAGTGGGTTGGTTTTTTAGCTTTTTGGATTTTTGACTATTTTAGCCTGGGCTATTTTAGCCTGGTTTGGGAAGGGCTTTTTGGCTTTTTGGCTTTTTTGACTTTTTTTGTGAGAGAGGATTGTAATGATTATGGGTTGGATTTGATGTTTTATTTTTTGTGACTAAAATAGCCTATTTTATTTTTTGTGACTATTTTAGCCAAAAAAGCCTGGGCTTTTTCTTCCCAAACAGAGGCTAAGTATGTACCGTTACTCTTCTTTCTTTTCTACTTCACTGAAAGCAATATTTATTACAATCGTGTTTTATAATATCTTTATAATTAACATGATTTAAGTATTATAAATTTTTCTTTAACATCTTGCCTTCAAAGTATATATATATATATATATCTTTAAAAAAGGAGAAATTAAAAACAAAAGGCCTTTGACGTTGTAACAAAATAAATTTATTTTCGTTAAAGTAAAACAGGAAAAAAAAATTTAATCATTAAAATTAAAATCAAGTATCCATAAAATATTTAATACACTTTTTTTTATTAAATTTAATGACCGAAATACTCAATTTTATCTAACAAAAAATAGACAGATGATCAACATTGAAAACAAATAAAAAAAAATTAATATTTAAATTAATAAAATAAAAAAATTATAAGGATCAAACCCTGATTTTTTATGTTTAGAATCTTTCCTAGAAAAAATGGAGTATGTGCAACAATAAACCAAAAGTTAGATTTAATTTCCAAAATATGGTAGTAATATCTAAACCAACTTTCTCTCTCTTAATTTTTATAATTATAAACTAGTAATTTTTTTACAACGACTATGAAATGAATTTGTATATCATTTACAAAATAAAATAAAATAAAATAAAATAAATACATGACGTAAACAAATTCAAGAATCATTCGTCTTTGGTTAAATAAAAAACATGAGATTGTATAAATGTATATACAATCGCAAAAGACTATAATAAGAAGAAAATTCTATAAATTCATATTTTCTGAGTCATAATTAAAATAAAATAAAATAAAAAATTAAAAAAAAATTAACAATTGTGTAACAAAGATCTTATCAGTTACAAGCAAAGAAGAAAATTGATCATTATAAAAAAAAGAATGGCATAATTATGGTGCATGCGGTACATGGAGTGTGTATAGCAGAACTTTCCATACAATCTTATTACTGTACTTACTTGGGCAGTCACTGACGCTGGCATTAGTGAGCTTGCAAGCAGAAGGAAGCAGAAGCAAGCGAGACTCCTGAATACCCAGACTCTTCACCGATTGACTCCCACTGTGAGTCTGCTGTATAAAATAACACAAGCATTCAGGATCGCTCTGCTTGATCTCTGTCACCGAAGTACAACACTCCTTCGTCGGCGTATCTGACTTCCCCGTCGCAAACGCCATGCACGTCGTCACCTTCGTAAAATCATCGCCACACTTCTTTTCGGTCGTCACCGCCTCCCCACACACTAATACCAGCAACGCAACAACAAAGAACAAGATCCAAACCCGAATCATCTTCTTCATCATCACCATTTTCTTTTAGATTTGTATAGTGAATGCGAATGCGATTTTCTCTGAATGTGTTAAAGAGACATTTATACAAACAGGTGGCGTGTGTGAGTGAAGGGGAGTGAGTGGGGGTTTTAATGGCGGAACAGAGCAGAGCTTGTGTGGGTGGTTGGAGATGGAGTAAATTCGGGTGTGAATAGATTAGATATAGGGGGCTACTACCGGAGCCGGTGTGAATTTAATGAGTGTTGAGCTGTATATTGACCACGCGTCGTCGTTTCTTACACGTGGCACCATCTCAACAATTGCTTTTTTCTTCTTTTTTTTAATTCTATTTCAGTGGGTTCACACCTGTTTACACGTACGGCTAAGGTTACACGGGGGTTTTCTCCTGTTATTAATTGGATCGGAGAGGTATTATTCGGTCTATTAAAGTTATTTTTAAGTCTGGTTTAATAAAACAAAGCTTGGGATCCGAATTTGGGGACGCTTGGCTTCTCAATGTGTGTGATTGGTTTATATGTGTATTTTATTTTATTTTATTTTGTTTTTGTTTTTTCTGTGGGGATCATAGGGTAGAGTTTTTATGGGGGGTTCAATGGAGGTATTTGGTAGGGTTTTTTTTAGTCAACTTATAAGTTTGTGTTTTTAAAAAATTATTTTGGACTGTTTGGTTAAATTTATTTCAAACAGTTTTTTATTCTAACAATTTATTTTAAGTCAAAAAAATTGATTCTAAGAAGCTGTTCACGGGGGTTTTCTCCTGTTATTAATTGGATCGGAGAGGTATTATTCGGTCTATTAAAGTTATTTTTAAGTCTGGTTTAAGAAAAAAAAAGCTTGGGATCCGAATTTGGGGACGCATGGGTTCTCATGATTGGTTTATATGTGTATTTTTATTTTATTTTATTTTGTTTTTGTTTTTTTCTGTGGGGATCATAGGGTAGAGTTTTTATGGGGGGTTTCAATGGAGGTGTTTGGTAGGGTTTTTTTTAGTCAATTTATAATTTTAGGTTTTTAAAAAATTATTTTGAACTGTTTGGTTAAATTTATTTCAAACAGTTTTTTATTCTAACAACTTATTTTAAGTCAAAAAAACTGATTCTAAGAAACTGTTCACCCCTTACTTCTGATTATCAGCTTCTGCTGTGGACATGTTAATTCACGGTTATAATCTTAAATTTTTTTATTTTTTATTTTTTTAAAAATAGAAAAAGATACAAATGAACTATGAAATATTATTATTATTTTTATGAGAAATGTAGATAAATAGTGAATAATAAAAAATAAAGTTAATTGAAAAAAATAATTTCACAGCTTATTTAACAAACACTGCTTAACTTAAATCTATAATCCAACAGTTATACCAAACAAATTAGCAGTTTCTGATTAAAATCATAATGTATAATCTGTTAAGCTATAATCTATAATCTGTCTTAACAGTTATACCAAACAGGACCAATCATTGTCCTTGAGTTAATAATTTAAATTGTTCATATTTAAAAATTAGATAAATTACAAATACACTCTTTAAGATTTGCTTAATATACGAATTGTTCCCTGTGATTTGAAAAATTACAAACATCTCCCTATCAAAAATTTTTATTTAATAGAATTAATTGAAAAAGTGAAATTTTTAACTGTTCACCTATACTATAATAAAATTATTTGAATTATTAATTGAAATAAAATTTTAACATTATTAAAAATTGTTAATTAACTTGATAATTTATTAATAAAATGACCTATTTGTTATGAAATTAAAAACCTTAGGGGGCATAATGTAATTTCTAAAATCACAAGAAATAATTTGTAATTTAAATAAATTACAGAGAGTATGTGATTTACACTTAAAAATTCATTGATTATATTATTCTTGTAAAAGATTAAATCGATTGGATAACGACAATTATGGCTTATATTAATTTTGTACTCATATACTCATATTAATTTTGTATGGACCATTTATTTTCTTATCAGTCTTTTTTTTTATACAAAACTAATCTTAACATGTAATTTTAGTTATCAATCGATTTGATTTTTTACAAAAATAATATACTTGATGAATTATACAATATGAATAAATCAAATTATTAAGGGAAACTTACCAATAAGTCTCATACACAAAGTTCAAAGCCCATCTAATCCTAAAATAAAATACTTGTACCAATTAGTTCTATATATTTTTAATTGTTACTAAAAAATCTTTTTTTAAAAAAAAAAAAATTTACAGACGCTATTACATCCCACCACTCTCGAACTTCCGTCAGACGATCATCGAAGACTCGCCGGAATGTTCAACATCACTGGGAATTCATCGGAGTATCGCTGGAAAGTCGTTGGAGTATCGCCGGGAAGCCGTCGGAAGTTCACCGGACTATTATGAACGCCAATAGAAGTCACCGAAATGTCCAGAACGTTCGTTGGATATTAAGAACATCATTGAAGACTCACTGGAATGTCCAAAATATTGTCTGGAAAAAAATAAATGGAGAAATTAGAGCAAAAAAATATAGCAAAATGTGCTAAATATTGATAAACTAAAAAAAAAATGTAACGATAAAAAAAGCAACAATGGGAAAAATATATGTTATTTTTCAATTTTTGTAGGGTTTAAGCAAATAATCTCAAATATTGATCAAACTGAAAAACAAGTTTTGAAACTATAAAATATTACAATTTCAAAGCAAAAATCTATTAAGTATTTATCCTTATTAATCAAACTGAAAAACATGTTATCAAACTGTAAAATTTTACAGTTCTAAAGAATGTTATGAAACTGTAAAATTTTACAATTTTAAACCATGATTCATTTTAACACCAAAAAAAATTGAAACTGTAAAATTTTACAGTTTTCACCATCTATAATTAATACTCGAAAACAATTTATTCAGAATTTGAAAATTTTCTCCATTGAAACAGAAAAATAGACTTGTGCAACAGAAAAAATGTAGAAAAATTGAGAAATCGAAGAAAAGAATAGATATAGAAAGAATATTGTACTCTAGCAACTATTTTTAGTTTAGATCTAGTCGGATCTCACGTAGATCTATTCATCTTCTTCACCGTCGGTAAGGATGAAGTCACGAGTTGATGTCGATGGTTGGTTGTTGTTAATGAATCCCAATCAATGGTGGTCTTCGGTCATTGATGACTATATATTAGAAAGAGAAAGAGAATGAGAATATGAAAGGTGTGATCACCAATTGTCGACTATGACAAAGAAAATGAGAGGAAAACGCAAAAAAAATAAAAAAAAATAAAAAACCATAAAGAATGAGGCAAAAAGCAGAGAGAGAGAGGAAAAGTAAGACTTTTGGATCTATTCAAAAAATTGTTAGATTAAATAGTATACACATATTTCAAACAGTACTTATAAGTAATTTTTTCAATTATTAAACTAAGACCAAAAAATGAACCTAATGGACCAAACGAAGCCCAGTCCGCTAAGGACTGTTCGGATGTCTATGCTTCTTTCTGATCCACTGTAATGAATTTTATTTTATTTTTAATTTAGGAAAAAAAATTATAATTATTGAATAGATAATGAAAATATTTCATTATAATTACATGATAGAAAAAAAATTATTATTATTTTTTTGAATCTTCATATATCATTATAAATTTTATCAATATTTTAAAAAAAATAAATTTATGCAATGAAAAATTATTGGATAGTTGTAAAATATTAAATGGTAATAATAAAGTTGTTCTGTGAACCAGATGATTTTCACCCAACGAAACATAAATGTCAATGAATGATGGGTCGTATACGTGCAGCTTGTCGTATACTAATGTTATAAAATTATAAAAAAAATATTATATGAACCAGATATGCTATTGATAAGGGTGCATAATATATTGAGTTCCATCTCTATCATATATCTGTTGGAAATAATAATTTTATGATGATTTTAATGTAAAATTAAAGTAATTCTCAACTATTATTTGAGGTGAGATAAAATGAGTTTAGATTCTTTGAAAAATGCTATATACACTAATTAGTATACTAACTAATGTATCAATTGATGATGTGGCATAATTTAAGATATTTAAATATTTGTAATTTGTATAATGAGTGAGGTCAATAATAATGTCATAACTAATATTGGTATACTAGTTAGTACACTAATTGGTATATGTAGCACTATCGAGATTCTTTATAAGAAGATATTTACACCATAAAAAGAATAACAAAAAATCATTAAGAATTGAATGAGAAATTGTCTCATAAAATTAGCCTCGTGAATAAGATATTGAAATTTGTGTATAATTACTAATCCCACATTGATTATAGACGAAAGCATTGATGAGTATTTAAACCTCAAGATTTTAATAAGGGCATGAACCCTTTAGGGCATCCAAATTTTTTCAAGGAATGGAGTTATAGATACTTCAAGAATGGGCTTAGATCAAAACTATGGTCCAAGTTAATTATGCAAAACTTGCCCACCCATACCGGGTCCGTATATCTTGAGACTTAAGGTTTGCTGGAATGGGTTAAGTTTGGGTTGGACCGAATTAGTGGTTCATCAACCTAATCTTTTTGGGCCAAGTTTATTTAGTGGCTGCAGATATACACACATGTCTATATTGTGTGTAACATCTTTTTTTTATACAAAACTAATCTTAACATGTAATTTTAGTTATCAATCGATTTGATTTTTTACAAAAATAATATACTTGATGAATTATACAATATGAATAAATCAAATTATTAAGGGAAACTTACCAATAAGTCTCATACGTAAAGTTCAAAGCCCATCTAATCTCAAAATAAAATACTTGTACCAATTAGTTCTATATATTTTTAATTGTTACTAAAAAATCTTTTTTTAAAAAAAAAAAAATTTACAGACGCTATTACATCCCACTACTCTCGAACTTCCGTCAGACGATCATCGGAGACTCGCCGGAATGTTCAACATCACTGGGAATTCGTCGGAGTATCGCTGGAAAGTCGTTGGAGTATCGCCGGGAAGCCGTCGGAAGTTCACCGGACTATTATGAACGCCAATAGAAGTCACCGAAATGTCCAGAACGTTCGTTGGATGTTAAGAATATCATTGAAGACTCATCGGAATGTCCAAAATATTGTCTGAAAAAAAAATAAATTGAGAAATTAGAGCAAAAAAATATAGTAAAATGTGCTAAATATTGATAAACTAAAAGAACAAAAAATGTAACGATAAAAAAAGCAACAATGGGAAAAATATATGTTATTTTTCAATTTTTGTAGGGTTTAAGCAAATAATCTCCAATATTGATCAAACTGAAAAATAAGTTTTGACAATGGGAAAAATATATGTTATTTTTCAATTTTTGTAGGGTTTAAGCAAATAATCTCAAATATTGATCAAACTGAAAAACAAGTTTTGAAACTATAAAATATTACAATTTCAAAGCAAAAATCTATTAAGTATTTATCCTTATTAATCAAACTGAAAAACATGTTATCAAACTGTAAAATTTTACAGTTCTAAAGAATGTTATGAAACTGTAAAATTTTACAATTTTAAACCATGATTCATTTTAACACCAAAAAAAATTGAAACTGTAAAATTTTACAATTTTCACCGTCCATAATTAATACTCGAAAATAATTTATTCAGAATTTGAAAATTTTCTCCATTAAAACAGAAAAATAGACTTGTGCAACAGAAAAAATGTAGAAAAATTGAGAAATCGAAGAAAAGAATAGATATAGAAAGAATATTGTACTCTAGTAACTATTTTTAGTTTAGATCTAGTCAGATCCCACGTAGATCTATTCATCTTCTTCACCGTCGGTAAGGATGAAGTCACGAGTTGATGTCGATGGTTGGTGGTTGTTAATGAATCCCAATCAATGGTGGTCTTCGGCCATTGATGACTATATATTAGAAAGAGAAAGAGAATGAGAATATGAAAGGTGTGATCACCAATTGTCGTCTATGACAAAGAAAATGAGAGGAAAACGCAAAAAAAAAAAATAATAATAATAATAATAAAATCATAAAGAATGAGGCAAAAAGCAGAGAGAGAGAAAGGAAAAGTAATATTTTTGGATCTATTCAAAAAATTGTTAGATTAAATAGTATACACATATTTCAAACAGGACTTATAAGTAATTTTTTCAATTATTAAACTAAGACCAAAAAATGAACACCAAACGAAGCCCAGTCCGCTAACTATCTTCAGTGAGATTTGGTTCGGATGTCTATGCTCCTTTCTGATCCACTGTAATGAATTTTATTTTATTTTTAATTCAGGAAAAAAAATTATAATTATTGAATAGATAATGAAAATATTTCATTATAATTACATGATAGAAAAAAAATTATTATTATTTTTTTGAATCTTCATATATCATTATAAATTTTATCAATATTTTAAAAAAAATAAATTTATGCAATGAAAAATTATTGGATAGTTGTAAAATATTAAATGGTAATAATAAAGTTGTTCTGTGAACCAGATGATTTTCACCCAACGAAACATAAATGTCAATGAATGATGGGTCGTATACGTGCAGCTTGTCGTATACTAATGTTATAAAATTATAAAAAAAATATTATATGAACCAGATATGCTATTGATAAGGGTGCATAATATATTGAGTTCCATCTCTATCATATATCTGTTGGAAATAATAATTTTATGATGATTTTAATGTAAAAATGCTATTGATAAGGGTGCATAATATATTGAGTTCCATCTCTATCATATATCTGTTGAAATAATAATTTTATGATGATTTTAATGTAAAATTAAAGTAATTCTCAACTATTATTTGAGGTGAGATAAAATGAGTTTAGATTCTTTGAAAAATGCTATATACACTAATTAGTATACTAACTAATGTATCAATTGATGATGTGGCATAATTTAAGATATTTGGATATTTGGATATTTGTAATTTGTATAATGAGTGAGGTCAATAATAATGTCATAACTAATATTGATATATTAGTTAGTACACTAATTGGTATATGTAGCACTATCGAGATTCTTTATAAGAAGATATTTACACCATAAAAAGAAGAACAAAAAATCATTAAGAATTGAATGAGAAATTGTCTCATAAAATTAGCCTCGTGAACGAGATATTGAAAATTGTGTATAATTACTAATCCCACATTGATTATAGACGAAAGCATTGATGAGTATTTAAACCTCAAGATTTTAATAAGGGCATGAACCCTTTAGGGCATCCAAATTTTTTCAAGGAATGGAGTTATAGATACTTCAAGAATGGGCTTAGATCAAAACTATGGTCCAAGTTAATTATGCAAAACTTGCCCACCCATACCGGGTCCGTATATCTTGAGACTTAAGGTTTGCTGGAATGGGTTAAGATTGGGCTGGACCGAATTGGTGGTTCATCAACCTAATCTTTTTGGGCCAAGTTTATTTAGTGGCTGCAGATATACACACATGTCTATATTGTGTGTAACATCTATAATTAAGATGGTAATTTACACCATCAGTTTTTTTTGCATTACTGCTTCACACATGTCTATATTGTGTGTAACCTCTATACTTAAGATGGTGATTTACATCATCAATTTTCCTGCATTACTTCTTCAGTTTTGCATAAATTAAATTCTACATTTGTGGCAGAAAAGCTCCTCTCTCTCCCATTGTATATAAAAGGAGACATCCTCTTTGGTTTTAGACATAGAATTTTTTGCCTCTATATTATATAGTCAGTTTGCCTATATATTTTCCTCCTATGTGAGAGAGTAGTTCCGTTATCAGTTTGCCGAAGCTAATAGAAGGTGCTCCTGCGTTAGCGAGTTCCATATCGTCGTATTTTGAGAGACAGATGCCGACAGACTTTCAGTACCCACGATGAGGTGGCGAATCTGTTTTAAAGAGACTATGATACTACACAGGTTTCGATTTGCTATATTTTCTATGCTTTATCTTGTTATGTATTTCTGTTGAATCTAGTTGTAATTTCCAACATATTTTCTTGTTCTGTATTGTAATTTATTAAATATAAATTTATTTATTTGTTTATTTTATTTAATTACACAATTTAGGCAAGAATATATACTTTAATAAATTTATGAATACCTAAGTGTATATCCTTTTATCTTTCATACGCGAAACGTATCTTTTGTCTCATATTATGTGAAAATTAATCAGCACTATTGTATTGATGCTGTGTAGCATGATGGACCAGTGCGGAATTCAATGATACAGCCAGCCCATTTGAGTTTTTGGCAGGCCAAGGATTGAGCCCTTATTCATGAAGAGACTAGTGTTGTTATAAAATATTTTAAAATTATTGCTAAAAATATTTACCAAACTTTCTTTCTTCGTTGTCAATTGTTAAAATTTTTGAACAAAAATGTTGCCATTATTAGTTGGAAAATGATGATAAAACCAAAAGAAAAGAAAAATAAATTAGGTTTCAGGACTAAAATAAACTCTAATAATAGGACTTAAACTCGACTTATATTTTTCTTATTTTTTTATTCTGATTTTATTTCTCTTTTTTTATTACTACCTTAAATATGAGAGAAACTTTTGGGTCAAATTCTAGTAGGCTAATGCTAACGACGTTCTAAGGGGGCAAACAGGTAAGTTTTTGAAAGGCTCCAAAAGATACCAAATAAAAATTCATTGCTAGTTTCAAACCACACCAACCACCCTCCCCCTCTCTAAATTATTATTAGCAATGAATCTAAATTATTATTAATCTTAAAATTCACTATTTAACGTTGAACTGTCTGTTCGAGTTATTACTATGCTAACTTGAAAAGGGGGATTTAGTCTTAGCTAGAAAGAAAGAAAGAGAAGGAAAAAACGGAGGGGATTCTCGTTAGTCATGCCTTCTTCTTGGTCCCAAGAAAAATCATCAAACAGTATTATCACTGTTATATATATATATATATATATAAAAGTTTGACAATCTACCCCAAGAGACCCTTTTTATTATTTCAATTTCCTAACTTTTTGACCAAAATTAGAAAAGTCAGTTTACATAGAACTATAACATGTGGGATGATTAAACACACAACAAAATTGTTCAGCTCTTTATGACTTGTAATATCATGAATGTCATTACCACATCCGAATACGATTTCTACGATGTCATTTTTTGCTTCCGTCATCCTCCCCTCTAGTACATAATTCTTTCCCAGAAGTTTTTTGTTTTTTTTCTTTAAGGTACATATGAAATGAAGGGGGAAAAAAATCCAGCTTAGTCATTTATAACATGTATTTTTTTTAATGATGATCAAGGTTGTGTTTTTTGGGCCCATCATTGCAAAATAAACTCTATCTACAATCATTTACAAATCACATGTATGTGTTAAGCCAGAAAAATTTAAAACGTCTAAATTATTATTAATCTTAAAATTCACTATTTAACGTTACTATGCTAACTTGAAAAAGGAGATTTAGTCTTAGCTAGATAGAAAGAAAGAAGGAAAAAACGGAGGGGATTCTCGTTAGTCATGCCTTCTTCTTGGTCCCAAGAAAAATCATCAAACAGGACTCTACTCTCCCCCTCCAAGGAAAAACAAGAGGAAAACATTGTATAGAAAGCTTAAATAAACACCAAATTAGCCATTAATCTAAGGCGGGAAAATGTTTACAAACAGAAAGTTTATACAGAAAACACATCCAGAATGATGTGTTAATGGCATTTTGGAAACTATGAGAACAGCAATAGATGTTTTGATTAGAAATGAAGGAACCAAAAAAATCACATCATTCTGCATGAAAATTCTGTACAAAGTTTTGTCTGTATATCATTGCTCATCTAAGGTGAAGGTGCCATGGTGTCGAATGATCTCCTCCTGACTAATAGGCAGGTAATCTTCGATGGCTGATTATGCGTGTTATCGACTGTGCACGCAACAAAGTCAGGCCGGTGGAGTGCTAGAGTCAACCGGTCCTTCTCAGCATCCAATCTGGTAGCATCCAAAAGAACGTGCCATAAGTTCCTATGAGCCTCCGATATCCAATGCATAGAGTACCGCGTACCTTTCACATCAGCTGGGTAAGAGAAAAGGCCTTTTGGGCTATGTTTACACTTCCTTCGAAAGTATTGACTCAGTTGTGACCCTTTGATCCTCAAATCAAGCCATGTTTCTGGTGCTGCCACAACTTTTGAATCCTTATAACCTACAAACTCCCTTATGAAATCGTGTTCTTCGCCTATAACGGTCATATAGTAGTTTCCCCTGAAAAAAGGGTATGATTCACCAATCATCATCATGGCCTCTTTCAAAGTTGGTGTGAAAATGACCAAGTACTCATCTTCATTCAGCCCACATTGCTGCAAAGCTCTGTTCCTGACTTGTATCTCTGGGATTGACATAAAATTGCCTTGAAACGACGATTTCTTCGTGAGGATGTCGAGCAATCTTGAAGGCTCCAATGGGGTTCTGTCAAGGTCGGAGAGGCTGGCGTTGAAGGACGGTGAAGATGAGTCTCTTGGACCTGTGTTTTTGGGCTTTTCGTCAGGCTGAGTAGTCTCGGAGGACTCTTCATTGACACACAGAGTGTAGAGATCAATGTTATCAGCTTCTTCAACTAGGCCATTGCTGTATTCTGGGTACTTGGCAAAGACATATTGTTGTACATATTGCATCTCACTTAGGGTGATTGGGCCAGACCATCTTAGGTCTAGGCCATGGAGGGTTGAGATTGCTTCAGCTATCAAGTGGGCTGGAATTACTGTATGTGCTTTCTGTTTTTAGAAATCAATTTTAGTACAACAAATGGTTGATCAACGCAAATGCAACATTAGAGATGAAAAATCAAGGGGGAAACTGCAAATTAGTGGAAAAGTGAAAATAATTACAGAAGTGCTGGTGGTGTCATGCCCTGTTGCAAGCAAAAATTGTACTCCTACTTCTACCCAGGGACAGAATTAAGAGAAGACATAGCTCTCTGTTATGTGAAAAATACTGTTTGTTATAGAATTTTAAAAATATATATATTATTTTATACATAAAATGACCTCCAATATAAAAAATATATAGTTCATTCTTCTTTCATCTTGCATTTTTTTTCTATTTTGCACAAAAAACTTCTTCACCGTATTAGAAAATACTTTTATGGTATTTAACTTGTTTTCTATGTATATATAATTATATATCATATTGTATATACAGGTATATTTGCGTGTATGGTGAAAAAAAATAAATTTTCTTTTGGCTCCTTAGATAATGAAATCCTAGTTTGGCTTGTACCCGAGTACAAATTTCAAGCATGAGATCATTTATCTTATTCTTTGTCCCATCGTTGATAAGGTACATGGGAGAGAGAGTGAGACAAATGATGAGGTGCTCCAAATTTCATTTGCACTTTCATATTTTTGTGATTGTTTTCACCTCTCTCTTTTCATTGTGTTGAAATTCTTTAAAAAATCAAAGCAAAAAAAATGTAAGCATAAAGCTATGTTTGGATTTTGAGTATATTAAAGAAAAATAGAATTAATTTCCTCTCATTTACACAAATTATATCCAAACGCAAACTGAAGTAAATTACTGGAGAATATACCTTGAAAACCATGCTACTTGGTCTGCTAGTTTGAGCTGGTGATTTGGGTGCAGAAGCCAATAGCTGTTCTCCCATTTCACCTTCTTCAACATCCTGATCATATTATAAAAAAGTTAAAACTATTATAAATCTTGTATCCAAAAAAATAGATTAACCATTAACAGAAGGTATAAGGAAGTTGAAAACAAAAACATGTTTGCTTATTATTTTCGCTTTCAAAAATTTCTATAAACAGAAAATATATATATATATAAATTCACTACCTCTAAAGGGAGTGATGGATGCTTCAAAACAAAATTAAAAACTTATTTTTGGAAGAAAAGGGCAAAAAAAAAAAAAAAAAAAAATTCAGAAGAGAGAAAAGCAGACCTTAGATTCTTCATTGAGAGCAATCTGTTCTTCAAAGTTTCTTCCCATGATTATGAATCTACTTACAGTGAAACTGATGTTATGGGTCTTTGAACTAAAAGCAGAGTTTGAGATAATTGAACTTGACATTTATTTATAAGTACTTTTTATTGATTGAAGCACAAATGGATGTCAAGATTGTAATATATAAAAAGCTCCAGACAAAGAGAGAAACGACGACGCATTGACGACAGCAATGACTTGCAACATACAGCTATATGTATGAAATAGCGGTTCAATTTATTTATTTATTCTCATGCCTTACCAACTATCAACAGTGAATGCATGAGACTACAGTCATTTTTGGTCCAACTTTTAGAATTATTTATTGCTTCTTTTTTTTTAAAAAAAAAAAAATTGTTAAATGTTTGTTGTAACTTGTGATTAAAGTTTTTTAAGGTAAAAATAGTTAAATAAGTTTAAAAAATGAAAAGTTAAAAAATTAGAAGATGAGTTTCTTTTGGTAAGTAGCCTGGGGGAAGCCGTGTACCCTTTTCAAACTGCTGCGGGAAAGGTGCTCCAGATGAGAGTCGAACCTGAGACGTGCGCCTAACCCACACATCCCAGACCCAAACCCCGGGCTACTACCCACTGGGCTACACCCCCGCCCCCCGGTTCAATTTATTTATTTATTCTCATGCCTTACCAACTATCAACAGTGAATGCATGAGACTACAGAAATTTTTGGTCCAACTTTTAGAATTATTTATTGCTTCTTTTTTTAAAAAAAAAAAAATTTGTTAAATGTTTGTTGTAACTTGTGATTAAAGTTTTTTAAGGTAAAAATAGTTAAATAAGTTTAAAAAATAAAAAGCTAAAAAATTAGAAGATGAGTTTCTTTTAAAATCATGGATCATTTGTCCTCAAAATTCATGTTCTGAATTGTATGATGTCGGAAAAATCTTGAAACTCCAAAAAAACTCAAGGCACCATTGTGTGCCTAAAAACACATTGAAAGTACAAGAGAAATTTTGAAGAATTGAGAATATACACATTGAATTATAGGCACGGTAAAATTAAGAGTTCCTCGCCTTTATTGGATCGTGTTTAAATTCTTTAATTATACATTAAAAAAATTATACAAATGCCTCTTTTTAAAAAGGTGAAAGTGATATAAATTTATAACTGAAGTATTCTTAACATACAATTCTAAAATTAAGAAAGATAGAATGAGAAAATTAGTAATAAATTCAATTTAGAGAGTGTCTAAGGAATTAGGTTTAATGTATTTTTTTTATTAATGAGAGATCTACCATTTGTGAAATAGTTTGGTGAGAGATGCTTTTACTTGTTTTGAATAACATTTTATTTCTAATTTTATCCCTTAATTTATTTGTTGATTTTTTTATTGGTAACAGATCTGTCGTCGACGGAGGATGACGATCTAACGACGGAGACGAGATAGAGATAGAGATAGAGAGAGAGAGAGAGAGCTGAGCTATGGAGCTTCTTCATTCTGTTGATCGCTAAGTGGAATCGCCGATTTGAGGCAAAATCTAGAGAGAGAGATAGTGAGAGGGGAGGAGAGAGAGGGGAAGCCTTTTTTGTGTTTACATAGTGCAAACCGTGTATATACATATATCGAGGATATTTTGGTTATTTAGCATAAACTTGTTCTTATAAACAAGTTAATTCAGCGATTGGACTTCTTACTAAACAAAATTTAAAATTGGACTTTTGGCCCAACACCCAGATAGAATAACATTTGATACTAATTGAAGAAGTTCATGTGTAATTAATCCAATAATAATCTAACTGAATAAGACACCCATATGACAATTAGCTAGGTTGGACATATATGCTCTAAGCCACCCAACAAATTAAAATTTTGGAGAGATGGTGACCTTTTGAGCATTTTAGAACCGTTGGCTTCAGACACGAGGATATGTGGGCCTCACTTGGGTGATATCAGATTTTCAAGAAAAGGGATTAATTTAGGTGATGAGGACTTGTCTTGTTTAATACTTGGGGATTTGAAGATGGAGTTTTTACTGTCTAATTTGTTTTTTAAAATGACAAGAATTATATAGATTTTTTCAAATTTTTTTAATATTTTAAAATTTACTTTTTTTTACTATACTACCCTCATATATATATATATATATATCAATTCTCCTGTAAAGTCATCCTCACAGTATATTTTAGAGTAAAATTTATTATACTTCAAAATAAAATTTTACATCGATAAACACATATATTGCCTTAGAGGTAAAATTTTTCTTTCATTTTATCAAACAAAAACAGAGCACATACCAGAGTAAAAATTTACTCTCATTCTATCAAACAAAAACAGAGCACATACCAGAGTAAAATTGTACTCTCATTCTATCAAACAAAAACAGAGCACATACCAGAGTAAAATTTTACTCTCATTCTATCAAACAAAAACAGAGCACATACCAGAGTAAAATTTTACTCTCATTCTATCAAACAAAAACAGAGCACAAGACAGAGTAAAATTGTACTCTCATTCTATCAAACAAAAACAGAGCACATACCAGAGTAAAATTGTACTCTCATTCTATCAAACAAAAACAGAGCACATACCAGAGTAAAATTGTACTCTCATTCTATCAAACAAAAACAGAGCACATACCAGAGTAAAATTGTACTCTCATTCTATCAAACAAAAACAGAGCACATACCAGAGTAAAATTGTACTCTCATTCTATCAAACAAAAACAGAGCACATACCAGAGTAAAATTGTACTCTCATTCTATCAAACAAAAACAGAGCACATACCAGAGTAAAATTGTACTCTCATTCTATCAAACAAAAACAGAGCACATACCAGAGTAAAATTGTACTCTCATTCTATCAAACAAAAACAGAGCACATACCAGAGTAAAATTGTACTCTCATTCTATCAAACAAAAACAGAGCACATACCAGAGTAAAATCTTTCATTTTATCAAACAAAAACAGAGCACATACCAGAGTAAAAATTTACTCTCATTCTATCAAACAAAAACAGAGCACATACCAGAGTAAAATTTTACTCTCATTCTGTCAAACAAAAACAAATAACATACTAGAGAAAAAACATAGAGAGATAGAGAGAGCATATATTGCCTTAGATCTGGTTCAAACCAGACACTGTCTGAAAAACAGAGCATGATGAGGAGACAAAAAGAAAAAGATGGAGATAATATAGATCTGAGATGATAGATCTCAAATTTGAGTTCATCAATCTTAGATCTGAAGTCTTGAATGCTAAGGATGACGATGGTGGCATCAAATTGCGTTGATGGTTGAGATGCTAGTGGTGAAACGGTGGTGGCGGTGGCGGTGGCGATGGCGGTGGCGAACATCATCAATGGTTGAGACAGTGTTGGTGGAGACAACGGAGGTAGTGGAAACGATGGTAGTCATGGTAGTCGTAGTAGTAGAGATGGTAGTGGTGGTGGTGGTGGTAGAGGCAGAGAGCTCTTAGAAAGAGATAGAGAAAGAAAAAGAAAAAGCTGAGAAAGAGATGACAAACTGATGGAGAGAAAGAGAAGAAAGATAGAGAGTGTGTAAAGGGGTAAATTTGTCACACAAAATATAAATTTGAAATTTTTTGTCCTTTATACAAGACTTTATAATTATGAGGGGGTTTTGAAAATATGATTTTTTTTTTTTTGGTGAATTACACTAATAGTCCCTATAGTTTAGGCCTTGTGTTACTTTGGTCCCTGATTTTTCAATTGTAACACATTTGACCCTGAATTTTGAATCTTGTTCCAAATAAGGACAATTGAAAATATTATTAAATTTTTCAAGGGTAAAATCGTCAATTTGATAAAATATAAATTAATTTGACAAAAATAAATGTCAAACAAATATTTTTGAATTTTTAAAAATTATTCTACCCACTAAAAATAAAATTATGCAAAATTGATATATCTTTTAGACATTTATTTATTTTTTTTACCAAATTAATTTTTATTATGTGTTTGGATGATGATCATGTAAAATTAATTTTTTAAAATTAATCATGTAATTTTTATTAATTTTATATAATTTTATCATTGGTGGATAAAAATAATTTTTAAAAAATTAAAAAAAAAAAATTGACATTTATTTTTGTCAAATTAGCTTATATTTTATTAAATTGACAATTTTGCCCTTGAAATTAAACAATGGTATCTTCAATTGTCCTTATTTGGAACAAGATTCAAAATTCAGGGTCAAATGTGTCACAATTGAAAAGTCAGGTACCAAAATAATACGAGTCCCAAACTATAAGGACTGTTAGTATAATTTGCCTTCTTTTTTTTTTGGGTCCTTTTAACAAAAAAATGAACGTAAGATTGATTTATGGTCAAATTTCCCATAATAATAATTTTAGGTCATGTTTGTTTGGCCGGATTAGATTAGGTTGGATTAATATTCCCATGACTAATAGTCCTAGGACTACAAATCCCTTTAGATTGTATATCCTATCCTATGTTTGGATTGAGTTAAGATTATAAGGATGGATTAACAAAATATCATCCAATCCGATGTTTGTTTAAAAGAATTGGAATAGATAGAACATAGGACATCCACTACATCGACCATATTATGGTCATTTGATAAGTTAGTCCAGAGTTTGACTTAGTCTCCCAATTTATATCACGCACCCCCTATATGAGATTGAATAGTTCATCATATGTGGGATATCATATTTGAATGGATTGTTAGTCCATACTTTAATTTTTTAACCAAATATCTGATTAATAATTTTGTTAGACTTTTAGTCCAATTCCAAACACATATCCACCCAAACAAATATGACCTTAATATACTCAACCTTATAAGAAATTTAATAATAATAATTTTAGGGTTTAGTAAAAGAAATTGCACTGTAAAGCATTGGAACACTAGAAGCCAATTGGCTCTATCATAGTGTTAGGTGGGACAGATTTGTGCGAGTAATTCAAAAATAGGTTTATTAAGTGAATAAAGTAGAAGAGAAAATAAAAATATTATGAAAATAGAGTCAAATTGGAGAGTCATTCTTCATTAGAGATGCAATAGGACTTTTTGATTAAGGAGTTGGCTTCAGAGATTAATTAATGCTAATTTTTTTTTTCACCTTAATTGGAAGGAGAAGATCTTATATCCTGTATTAGATATACTTTGTTAAGATGGCTATGGAA